GTAATTTCGGGCGAGAAATCGAATGCGCTTGGTCCCGAGTCACTCCGGGGCTTCTTAGGCCGAAAAATTTTTCTCGGCTTGGTTGGGTTAAGATTATTTGTTTGACCGAAAAAGGGGGGAAAATAGTTATTCTGCATATATAAATATTATAAATCCACAAGAGGAGTTCATTTTTCGAGTCCAAATTTATACCGTCTCTTCATAAAGCGCATACGATTTCTCGTCAGAAGGTCTTTGAAAAAGAGAAATTGATGTGTACAGCATATTTTCTCGGTCGAAATAAAAATTATTGATAGGAATACCGCTGATACCGCCGGTGGATGTATTCCTTTGGATATCTCGTGATTGATATTGATTTGTTACATTGCAGCACTAGAAATTGAACTAGATCTCATGATCAGAGAAATATGTATTTTTGAAAATTTTTCCAAGTATCATGAAAAAGAAATATTCCTCATACACAAACCACAACTTACTTATTCAGGAGTCTCATTTTAAAGTCAAAGAAAGGCCAATTTCAGCATCCAGTTTGAACATAAAAGACAAAAAATATTTTCAAAGCTCTTCCAGAGCTCCACCTGGGCCTACTGCGTATTCTTGGATTAGGAAGCCCCGGATTGACTCGTGACCAAGCGCATTCGATTTCTCGCCCGAAATTACCTAATAATCAATACCCATGACGGCACAGATTTTCTCACGACAAAATTGGGAAAAAATGTGCCCAAAACATCCCTAAAATCCCAAAAAAGGCCCATTTTTCGGTCAATTAAGCTTCGGACCGATTCGGGACCCTGCTCAATCGATTCCTGGTCCAAAAATACGTATATTTCATTATACATGTACCATTTTGCATATGCACAACCCATCGGAATTGAATCATTAATCGTTTTTGAAGGCCATTTTAGCGCCAAAAACACAAAAATCGATTTTATTTTCGAAGAGCTCGACAGAATATTTTCATTTTAGGCTTGAATGACTGTGTATGCATCCTACTTCAAGATCTCGAAGGAATTTTGAGTGGGCAACACTATTTTATTTACCTCCTTCTGAAACGAACCGTGACTGTACAAATTCATGACGAAAAAAAATCTGGAAGTTTTTGCTCAAGTTTGACTCTAAGAGGTAAAAAATTTAAGTAAATATGAGTCCAGAAGTTCCAAGACAGAAATCATTGGTTTGTAAAAAAGCAAGGTTTCAGTTTCTCCAAAAAGTTAGGGGAAACTTGCTTCTAGAAGATAAGGTCCCTTATCTAGAATTCGGTCACGAATATGTTTCATTCCTGGTGTTCCTGAACAAAATGAACACTCAGTATTTTGTGGCTACATATTTATCATTGAGTTGGAGCAAAAAAAAATAATCAACTTCGGTAAAAACTTGAGTAGCTTAGTTGAAAAATTTCGGTGGTAAATTTAATTTGCCTTGATGAATAACACTTCCACAGTATTCAAAATGATAGCAAACATAGTTGAATAACACGCGGCCTGTTGAAACAAAGAGCTTTTAAAAAGGTTGCAACTTGTAAAAATTTAAAATCAGCTATCCAAAACCATGCATGATAAAATCCTGGCAAGTCTGATAAAGAGATAAATTTTCTGAGATATTCTGTTATTTCATGTTTTTAATAAACTTTATGTGTACACACTTATGCTTTCACAGAAAAGCTAAGCACTCATTCTTGTCAGTGGTAAAGCTAAAGCAGTGGGAATATTCCTACTGCTCTATTTCATTGAATAAAAATAAATTACGTAGGTACATAAAACAAATGAATAAAAAGCATTTCTCAACAAAATTTACAGAACAAATGACAAAAATGCAAAACAAGAGAATACGGAAAACAAAAGCAACAAAATGTGGCAGCTATTGACAAAGTTGTTCCTTGCGCTCTTTGAGAATGGCTGATTTTTTATCTCATCGAAAAAAAAATTCATTTCCAGAAAGGATGTTTTTGGAGGAAGCGATTTTTGAAAAGTCCAGTCGAAAAATCGTGATTTGAGTTTTTAACAGGAAACTCTTAAGCAATCTAAAAAATAATTTGGGAGAGATTCAGTTCATCCTTTGGACTAACAGATCGGAGGTTTTGAATCTGACTTTTACACTCCAGATTGGCAGAATAAAACTCTCAAGTAACTTTTCCCTAGAGATAAGTTCTTGAAACAAAGAACCTCAAATACTCAAAGTTTGATTTGACATTTTTTATGCTTCAAAATATTTTCAAAACACATGTTCATGCGAAGGCACCAATAACTCACTTTTTAATTTTCTACTGCTAACATCAATTCTGCAATTTACCGTCACATTCCATGATAAATTTTGTGGTGTCAATAAAAACATAGAACTTGTGCACTACTTGACTACTTGTCCATTACCCTATTACTAAGGTCCTCATCTAACTACAAATGCGCATGAGCAAAATTGTGTTAAATTACTATTATGGCTGGAAAAAGCATGCACAGGTTAGTGAAAAAAAATGTACAGTCACAGTAAAAAATAAAAGCCAAAAGTAATGAGTCAAGTACCTGCAAGTACTCGTCTAGCTCAACTTGGCCATTCATGTTGGTATCGATCTCTTTTAAAATCTCGTGAAGTTCCTCGCCCGACACCTGAGCTTCCCCGAAGTGCTGTAACAAGCGATAAGCATCACATTCCTACTCCTATGCATTCTACGCCCGCGCAGAGCATCTGACACACAATACATTCTGACAGCTCAGATGCCCCACATCTCAACATTAATCAAAGACTACGTGTAACTCAAAAAATTCTGATCACAATAGATGAGCTAACCTCAACCTTTGAGGGATTAAAATTTAGAGAAATATAGCAAACTTTACACTTTGTATTTACTGATTCTATTTTGGGAGACTCAGCTTAAATAAAAGAAAAAGAGAGCAGAAATTTTTGAGTTACACTCAGATAAGTACACACTAAAGAGACAAATTACAGTACCGATGAGCAAGGCTCATAATTGAGGCCTTCCCAAAATGCTGGCTGATAAACATGGAACCCGGTATCCCCGTTCAATAGGTATTACTTGCTGGGATCTTTACCTGCAGATAATCAGCTAATTCCAACCTGTTTCCATAAAGGGTTTCAACTTCGGCTTCAAAATATCTTATGACATCGTCAGGAAGGGGCATGCTTAGAGCCTAATAAAACATGACAAATACGTGTAAAATAAAAGAGCATTTGTACCCCTTGCTCACCTTGCATCTTGAACTAAGGGTCAAAAAAGAAAAACTAAGAGAACTCTGCATTAAACATTCTAAATCTTAGCGACACTTTAGTTTGTCATGCGCAAAGATTTACAGTCAATGCTTCCTACGTTGAAGGTGCTATCCCATCTGAAATTAATGTTAGTGTTCTAATATACCGTAATCTAAAATCATCTGCATTGACTTCTCTATCTTCTCTTTTCTCTTTCATTTAAAAGAAAAAGAAAATAATCTAAAAAAAGTTAGAGCATTCTTCTCACTCTTTTCTCCCCTTTTGCGTCCATGATTCCTATTAATGATCCTAGGATTCTATGATTCCTATTAAGTATAAAAAAAAGTGAATAGAAGCAAAAAAGAATCTGTTTTGACTTTCCAGAATCAAGTTAAAATCAAAGAACTGAGAATGATAACTTTTGAAAATGTAAACGGCATTTGAATAATTAAAATAAATTCATTAAATTTTGGATGTGTACAGCTTAAACCAACATCCTTATCCTTCTTTGAAAACCCATTTTACTTGTAACTGTAACGAGAGTAAATGCTCTTCTTTCCAAAAATCATTGCTCAATCACACTTATAACTTGGAAAAAAGGCAGTTTTGTGGCTCTTAAAGAGATAACTATGAATTTATTCCCAGAATGACACTTGCACCATCTAAAAAAGCCCCCCCCCCTTCCAACCGTTTACAATTGAATTAATCATAATGTACTTTAATTTTTGTCTCCTGATGAATAGGTATTTGTAAAAGTTTTTACAGATAATATACAGAGTCTTTTTCTAATTGCAAAATTTTCCTTTCTAACAGAATATTTGACATAGTGCGCATTTGGGAAGTTGAGCAGACTTAAAACCATCCGTGTTCTTCCTGATCATTAAAATGGAGGAAATTTCATATTCTAAAGTTTGGCCTTCACTGCAAGTATGCGTAAGGAAATCCCGAAAGAAACTTTGAGTAAACATACCTTGAGTCCTCTTCGAATATCATTAATGGAAACATAACCTTTGTTCTCTTTGTCGATGATGCCGAACCTCTTGATGTACATCTGAATCTCTTCTTTCGTCAGGTTAATTGGGATCTTGTCTCGAGAGGCTCGGTTGACTAACTGACCCATTTCATTTGCCAAAAAGTTTGTTGCTTCATCGTATTGCCTCTACAACAATAAATTACCAATAGTTAGGAATAACTACGACAATAAATTACCAATAGTTAGCAATACCTACAAGAATCAACTACCAATAAGTAAGAATAACTACAAGAGTAAAAACAGGATCCCAAAGCATCCCGACTTTGTGACGTTTGACTGTGCAAATCTAAGCCTTAGTTTTGAAAGAAAGAAAAAAAAAAAGAGATAAAATTATAACTTGCTAAAATTTGAATGAGTTCCTCCTGTGGGGTGGTTCATATTCATACTGGATTAATGGAATTAAGAAAAAAATATGTACCTTCTTCTCTTTCTCATCCCATTTGAGTTCTTCAGCCATGATATCAATAATTCCTGGAAGGGCCTCTTGCGCAGCTTGGACATTGAGGAAAGCCAGTCGCAACCTGCGAGCAATCATGTCAATAGCTGACATGGCATACTCGCGGACTCCATACCTAATCTAAAATTAGTAAAAAAAGAAAGATTTTCACTCCAACAATAATTAAGAAAGAAAAACTGCGAGAAAATTAGGCATAAATGTTACATTCAATATTTTCTGGAAAATAAAGTGGCACTGACCAGCTTATTAGCTGAAGACATTTTTTTTCATTTATACTTTCCTATTTACAGGGTTGCCACCGACTTTAGAGAGTAAAATTCCCAGACATTTATCTGATTTTTCTAAAAATATTAGTAAAATTTTCAGACATCTAAGGATATGCGAGATCGTTAAATTGACTGAAAAATCGTCACTTCCAAACTTGAGCACGCAACATTTGTTGTTTGGAATTCATTCCAAGACCAATCCACACAGGTCAGTCATAGCGCAGCTTTTTTGAAATCCACTCCCCTGCCCGGCCCTAACTCGCAGCACCCATTGTGACGTAGCATTGAGTGCTCCCATAAGAAATACATTGCAGGCACTCAATACTATGTCACTGCGCAGTAGAGTACCAAAACTTGTCCTCGGGAATGACTGACCTGTGTGGATTGGTCTTGATTCATTCAATCATTCATTTGTTGCACGGAATACATTCTTAAAAGCAGAACAAGGTGTTTCAACAATTTTACCCTGACACTTATGGCATTACTCTGATATTTTTCAATTTTCCCTCACTTTTTCTAATTCTCTGATTTTTCCTGGTTTTCCTTGACTAAGACAGCCCTAATTTAGAGACCTATTGAGTTCTTACAGACTGTAAATATGTTCTAACATTAGAGCCTTACCTACAACCAGGTCAGATTAACATTACTAAAAATCCAAAACAGCTATTAATTTGTTACTTCTAAAAGACTTACATAAAGTCTGATTATTCTAATTAATGGGTCAAGAACCGTGAATATTAAAAGAATCTCGCAGAAAGGCTGAAACTGGCGAACAGTTGGATAAAAGGCTCACCTCAGCATCAATGTATGGGAACTCAGGGTGAATCTTCTTTCCAATAATGGGCCATCTTTTACCAGTCAATGATGCAAGTTTGGCTACAGCAAAGGCACGGTCTCCGTATGAGTTTGACAAGTGTTGAGCGACTTCACATTCTAAACCAAAATCTTGTACAAGTCGGATGTACATAGTCGGTGTCCAACCGTGTGCTCCTTCAATCAACAAACCATCTGTCTGGCACTCTTTGTGTGTTGGCTTCAGCTCAGGTACAACTTAAAAGAAAAAATAAAAGCAACAAAATTAGGACCTGGTCTAGGGGCCATGAAATCACTTTCGCATGCCATCCTGAAACTTTCAGGGTATCTTCTAGGGTCTCTCCGAGGCCTTTTTCCAGCGATTGGAATGTCTGCATCCCAGGACAACATATTCAAGATTGCCGCCACGTCCGAAATCGAAAGGTCTGAAGGTGCTCCCAAAAATCCACATTTTCCTCAGAAATGTTCACAGATACGCAAAATTGTCAGAGGACCATTTACCTACTAATACTGGTCAAATTGACTATTGGCATGTTTGAATGCAATATTTTGTTTCAACTGACTCAAAAATTCAAAATGATCTCAGAATGGGTCACTGAACCATGAACAAATTTCGACTTGCAAATACATTTTTCCAAAGGTAAATGAAGCGTAGAATACGATATGCACATTCAAAACGCGAAAAAGTAACTCAGAAACCAAGAAATATGTAGTTCAAAAAGCGCAACTTTTTCGTAAATTTAAAACGCCCTGGTTTTGCGCAGAACTGAATGATGTCATCCGGCACCAATCAGAAGCAAGCAAGGGTTTTTACAGCTCTTATCAAATGTCATTCTACTCTTTATTAATGAAAACAATAGGAAATTTGGAACTATATCTTCAGAATCAAATTTCATTCATGTTATCTGTCATAAACATGCATCGATTCTTCATTGAAATACGATTTATTTTGACAAACATGAGTGAAAAAGTAGAGGAGATGGCGATTTGATTGCCGCAGTACATCACTTCTATCATTTGCCGCCATTCCGACGCGTTTTAAATTCCTGGAAGTCTTTGGACTTCTTATGAGCAGGCTTGTCTGGAATTATGGCTCCAAAAAACATGGAATAAATCACCACGTAATCTACTCACATGGTACCTTCAAAATATTAAATCGAATACATAAGATTTAGCGGCCCATTAATGAGCCTCTCTAGAGCTAAAGACAGCAGGATTCAAGGGTAAAGAGAAATAGCTAAACATAAAAAAACAACTGATTAACACAAACCTCTTAAAGCTTCATCAATTGTTTCTTCAGCCATTGAACGGTAAGTGGTCCACTTTCCTCCAGCAATAGTGATCAACTTTGATGGACTTGTGTAAATGATATGATTCCTGGCGATTGACTGAGTGTCACCTTTGTTGGGGTCCGAAACCAACGGCCGAATTCCACTCCATGCAGATAGTACATCTCCTCTCCTGACTGAAAATTCATTCAAAGTTAAATCAAAATCAGTAAAGATGCAGTGGAAAGATTCAAGGCGTCCAACAACAAATGCATTTCAGTTTTGGGTAAAATAATTTTAGGCTTGCTTTACTGCAGAGCTATCAGCTTGAACCATTATCTGGGGTCCTTAATTTTAATTGCTGAGGGAATATGAGAGGCTTTTGGTGTGGCTGTACAGCTTCGTAACAAAAATGAATTCTTTTCATTGGTCTGAAGTTTAATATCTTTATTCCGAAATGCTCATTTGAGAGAGGGAAAAAAAGATTATGAGCAGCCTAGTACACATACAATGAAATGAATAACAATGCTAAAATTGGGGGGAGGGGGGAGCTATAAAAGGTGAAAAAAATCTGAGAGGTTTCAGCTGATTATGCAGCCATTATCAATGAAACGAAAAATAAAACAAATAAAAAAATATGTACATAAATCAACCATGACCTGTACCGCCAGAGACAAAAATTTCTGAGGAATTATTCAGAGAGAAAATCTCCAAAGGAATTTTTTGGAGAAATCATTGCCGCAAACAATACAGGTTTTATTTTTTATATTTTCAAGTAAGTTTCATTGTTGTCTGATTGATAATGGCTGCATTACTGGCTAAACTCTTTAGAGTTTTTTCCAACTTTTTTGGCCTTGTTTTCCATATTTTAGCTTTGTTTTCCATTTCACTGATTGAAGAAAACAGAGCGGCGAACCAACTGAGCCCTTAGTGAAATAATCAAGATTTAAGTTTACATTATTAGAATCATCAGTTCTCACCTTCAACATCTGGGTTCAAATAATTCTTGACTTCGTTGAGGATGAACATGATTTCATCTTCTGTGGGTTTGGGATGATGAGTGATATCGCAAGGAAGATCCGTTGTTCCAGCAATTGTAGACTTCAACCATGGAAGGAAGAAAATGACTCGTCCATCTGAAGTTGCAGGATCTAACAATCCCATCTGCTCCGGACTAAAAATTTAAGATTGAGAAACTCACAACTTTGTCTTCCCATATGATAAGAATTAGCATTAGAAAATGTTTTAAGTTTGAATATTTACCACAAAATTGACAAATGCTTCATAGCATTAAAAGAAACAAACATGCATTGCTCATTTAATGAAAGTCTGGGTACAAAACTTGATGACAATTTTTCAAAATGTTTACAACTTTCTCCATAAAAAATTGCGACTTATCTCTTTACGAATTAAATACCTATGGGAAATATTTGCTGAAGATACAACAAAAAATTATACACAATTTTATGAATCAAGACGTTTTGGACATCTTTTTCCCCACACATTTTTTTATTTAACTTAGAAATGGTTTTTTAAAATATATCTAATGAAAAATGTTTCACTATTGTGGATCCTCAAGCTTTTGAAAACGTAAAGAGACTGAACTCCAATATTTTACTTGCTGCATGAACTTTTAGATTTAAGTGCAAAATGAGTTTTTCAGTTTCAGTAATTCAGAGTTCCCTCTTACATTTTTACTCTTAACAGGCAAAAAAAGAAAAAAGGCTGGGAGAAAGATAGAAATTTAACTGAATATTGTTCATAATTTAACGATAGTTTCTGCACTAGTATCAAATTTAATCCAGTAGTTTCCCTGAAAAAAAAGAAGAAAAAAAAAAAATTGGTGGCGATTCTGAATCACAGTAACAGCAAGGCACCCTTTTTGTACCCAAGTCCTCAATTTAGTGCAAATGTTTAGTGAAAATCTCAGCAAAGGAGTTCCTTATACCTATAGTATCCAGGGAGGACAATGTGGACTCCAGAGCTTGGTGCACAGATCTCTTGTACGGTGGGGTTGTCCATCTTTCTGATAGAATCGGTGAAGGGTCCCGTTGCATTGATGACACATTTAGCTTTTACGTCCCACTCCTTGCCTGTAAGCTCATCCCGCAGATGAGCACCTGCACAATGACCCTTCTCATCCTTGAGCAAACCTGTTACTTTAACGTGGTTTGCTACTGTTGCACCATGTCGCGTAGCAGTTAATGCAATTGCCAGACACATTCTTGCATCATCTTGCTGACCTGCAAAATGAAATTATGTATTGATTTCTTGTTTTTTAAAATCAATTAAGACTGAATTTTTTACAACAAAAGATAGAGAGCTCCGCAATTCCTGTAACTTTGTTCCTTAGTACCTTTGTAAATTTAATGCATGCAGATAAACAATAGCATACGGTTCTTGTAGTATAATTACAATAATTTTACATTAAATTTGTTTAAAAGAACAAAAAATCGATCTTTCAAACTTCCTGTTTGAATGGTGAGTGGAGTAATTTTGAAAAAAGCTCTAAACAAAATTCGGTTGGAAGTTTCAAAAAATTTGATCATAACACACCAATGTAGAAAGAAGGGAGAATAATATTGATAAAAATCATTTTGAGAGAAAAGATTTAATCAAGTATTTCACAATATCTTTACTTTCCAATTCCCTGACTATGCTTCCCTGTAACTAAAAAATTCCCAAATTTTCAGACATTCTTTGATCTCCAAACAAAACTTCCACTTCAATTTTTCTTTGCCGATGCGCCGAATTTTGCTAAACTTCGGACAAAACTTCTACTTTTAGAGTTTCAAATGGGCGACTAGACAAGGTCTGAGCTAGAAGAAAGCTTCACACGTTTTCTCTTCAAAATCTTATGAGGAAAGCTATTCACACAACAGGAAGTTGTGTCAACTTCCGAACAAGATATTATCAAGCATTTCAAACACACATCAAATGGAAGTTGGATAGTTAAATGTTAACGCACGTATCTTATTTAGCAGTTGATTTCCAGACTCCCTGTTAAGTGATTCGTATTATCGTAAAATTTTGAAGAGGAACCTTATTACAAAGTTCTTTAATTCATACCTTGTCTGGGGGCACATTATGAAAAAAAACCCCTTAAAACATGCTCCTTACCGACTTGACTTTTTTTATTTGTTCAGCCTATACTGGGTGTCGTTGATTAACTTTTAAGTCGTCCGTTCACTGAACTAGAGTCACCAATTCACAAGAATTATCTGACAAAATACACCAATGTATGATCGTTCATCTTGCTTAAAAACAATCGTGAAAAACTTACCATCATAATACACAATAGCGCCTTTGAGGGCATCACCTCTCAACATGGGAAATAGCTCTAAAGCATTAGCCTTTGACAAATGGTACGATGATTTGACTGTTTTTGATCCAGCAACCAAATCGTAAGCCTTGATTCCCACCCAATAGTACGGAATTTGCCACCACCTGCAATGTAAGGAAAAGATTAGGTAATAATAGGAACTAGCACAAACGTAGTGTGCCTATACATGCAAATTTTTTAATTTTTATTTTAATGATCAAGTCATGCGACATGAATCTCTGTAATTTGTTGGTCTTGAATTCTTTGGACTCCATTAATGCCCAGCTTTTCAGGAACAGAAATTCTGGCAGCTCCTGACACTAAAATCCTGTCACCCGGTGAAAAGCTGCAGTCAATGTAAAGTCAAGAACATTCTCAAGGAGTGAGATTCGGTGGGCCCCTTTCATGAGGGGCGTCTTGGCGACCCTCATGATGGGAGTACTGTAGCGAATTTTTCCCCTCATCACCAAAAAAAAAAAAAAAAAAAAAAAAAAAATTCAAATAAAAAATGAGGTCTTTGTGTATCCTTTATTTAAAAAAAAAAAAAAAAAAAATCCTGGCAGAAAAACCTAGAACTAGTTTAACTCCGGATCCGAGGGCTTTCATAAGCAGATTCATAAGAAACACCGAATTCGGCATCATGCGTCATCTCCGATTCGCGGGAATAACGCACCGCTTATCGCTTATCGCTTACCGGATTGGCGGGTTGATGACGCAGCGCGCCCGATTACGTGAGCGCGCGCGCGCGGCGCGGTGGGACGCGCGTTTCCGGAGGCGCCAGCGTCAGACAAGACAGCCGAAGTAACGTCTTGAACGTATTTATGCTAAAAGGAACTATGTTGCACGCAAGCCCGACGCGCATAGTTCCTTTTAGCATAAACACGTTCATATACAGCGGCAAAGTCTCCTCCACAACTCAGGATTGCGCAGGGTGCTACGATAACAGCACACGTGCGCCTCTTATCTGAGCGGCGATATTGCCGTCTCGGACTCCGATCGGCCAGACTTTTACTCGCCGCCGCGCCGCACGGAGGATCGAGTCGTTCAGAGAGATCGCACATGAAATTTTTGACTCAAACTGAAAATTTTGATGTTTATTTCGACACATTTTAAACTTTGAGGGGTGCTACTAGAAGAAAATTTTATGAGAAAACCAATAGAACTATTTTTAGAACCTCAAAACGTAGTATAAACGGAGTGGTGAGCTTTTAAAATTTCAAAATTTTGTTCGACCTCCCCCATTGACTCGAACCATTGTGCGCCGCCGGGCGGAAATATTCGCACGAGACAACGCTCTCGTCGGAGGAAAAAGCTGTCCACACCGCGTTCGCGTGGTCGCGACTTCGCCGACGGACGGGTTTCACTTTCGCGCCGGCGTTGAACGAATGGAATCGACCGTTCGCAAAAAGACTCAAGGGCCGAAGAATTGAAAATCGAAAAATGGATGATTGGATTCCTCCTGGGAGGAGACGAAGGGGACGCCCATTGAAAGGGTGGCGACAGGGGGTTCTAGAGGAAATGAGGGAGTGTCAGCTTACTGAAGGGTTTTGGGAGGATAGGGGACAGTGGCGGCTGGGTGTCGCAGAGCGCCAAAGAGTGCTAATTGAAAATCGAAAAATGGATGGTTGGATTCCTCCTGGGAGAAGACGAAGGGGACGCCCAGTGAAAGGGTGACGACAGGGGGTTTTGGAGGAAATGAGGGAGTGCCAGCTCCCTGAAGGGCTTTGGGAGGATAGGGAGCATTAGCGGCTGGGTGTCGCAGAGCGCCAAAGAGTGCTATGAAAGCTTTTTTATATACACTGAATGCATCTTGCAGCTGAGGGCGAGAAGGAAAACAGGTTTTTACACTGCCCCAAAACCTGAGCGTAAATAGGGAAATCTGCAGAAATTTGTCCGTTCATCCTCCAAGCGCCGATTTGATTTTTCCTTCTTTCCCCGTTCAAATTATCCGACAAATTCTGAGGTGACTACGGTCCAATTATAAATTGTCTTCTTCTCATACATTAATTTTTCTGGGCTCTGGCAGTTTTTATTTATTGCTTACGCCTTTGAGAGACTGACCAGTTTAAGGCGCTTGGGCGAACGACGGTTTTTCAACTTTGTTCCAAAAGTTTAGGAGTGTTCGCTCAGTAACACAGGGGTATCATTTTAGCCAAATCTTAGGGAGAGTAAAAAACTTTCAGAGGAAGCAAACTCAGCTGGTGTAGGAAGTGCCTCCAAAAGGGAAGGATTACCATAGAGGGCCCTAAAATCCCCAATATAACGTATCAACGTACAGCAAGACTAATTTAAGAAACATTTGAAAATTTTTTAAGATTCATGATGTTTCTAGTAATGGAGCTCAAAATTTTGCAGGAAATGATGATGCAGTAGAAATTAGTACTGTACCGATTACATATTAAGGAAACTTATTTGATTAGGACTCAAAGTTTGCCGCTGGATAAGCCTAATTTGTAGATGCTCTTTCGTGAGGAGCTCACTATTTGAGTGATTTGCGATACTCTCTACGCAAAGGGTAAGAGGCAATGAAAAAAGTCATCAGAAAGCACAAAAAAAAGAGCTTAAAAAGATTCTGGAATTTGTTGAGCAGGTGCTCAACCCATCTTTGTGACATAGGGAATGCAAGCATCAGATTTTTACAGCAATTACACCTTCAACTTTGAAAAATAGAGTTGATACATTGATACATTTTTAACTGCTCAGAGAGCCTCGCAGCTATCAAACAAAACCTTGACAGAAAAGAAGTCCAAAACCTACAATTGCTGCAGAGCATGAACTTACAGATATATACTTTACTGGGGGGAGCTAATTTTAAAGTACAGTATGCATCAATTGATAACTAAACAATTGCTTCTCATAAAAAAACTGCATCATATTTTTGAACTCCTTGAATCTATTTTAGCGATAACTTAGAGCATGCACACTTTGACTCATAATTTTTCTTTTTTATATAAGTTCCAGATTATTCTACGTAAAATTTATCAGCTTCCCTGTTCTTATGCAATACTTCATTTTTTTGTATCCGTTTTTTCTTGGTCTCCTTTTGATTAAAATTAAATGAGTGTCAATCGATTGCTCTAGAACCTTAGATTCAAACTGAACTTCAGAATTTTTCCACCTTGAAGAGGAAGATAAGCACTGATAAAAATAGGTTATCAAGAGCTGTAGTTATCAAACTAAAGCTGCCAAAAGAAATTTAGCATGAATTCTTTTCGCCAAACGTTTAAAATACATACTACTACATTATGAAGTAAAGAATCAAGCTTTTTTGCTTATGAACCGAGACCAACAAAATTTGATTCTTCGAAAATAGAAAAAAATAAATTTTTGTAAAAAGAGTTCAGAGAACTAATCTCTGGAAATAATTTAAGAATAGCTCATCAATAAAAATTGAGCTAGTACCACCTTATTTAAGGGTGTAATAAAATTATGGAAAAATAAAAACTTCCAATCAGGTGCTCTGTGATACTTCTGGAAGCATCAAAATTTTAAGCCTGAGTTTTTTTCTCTAAATAATAGACAAAACACTTACAGAGGGCAGCATTCTATGAGACACCCACTAAAACTTGCATCAGTTTGGAATTTTGAGAAGAATTGTTGACAAAGTTAGGAGAAATGCATCATTCATTGAAAAAAGATGATGCAACGAACAATTCTATATAATCAATACATTCATGCGTTTGCTAAGTTAATTAGAGCATAAGATAAGCCTTTGGAGAATGAATAAAAGGCGGAGAGTGAGTCAGGGTCGAGTCGTGTCTGATAAGACCTAGACAAGCAGCTATGCGTGCAAGAGACTTCAAGGGAATCATTGAAACAACAATGCCAGAACATGCTGACAGCATGGCCTACACATGAGGACTAAATAAAAATTTGTGAGATGACATCAAAGTTAAGATTGCAACCTTGACATTGCTCGGCAGAGCTACACAAAGATGATAACTCAAGAAGCAGAGTTGAAGAGGTCGTTGAACTTTAGATCAGGCTTTTTACTGCTGATTTTTATTTTCTAGAACGCATGGGGATTTTCAGTTCTATGAAAAACACTTATCTATGAAAACCTTTAAAAACCATGCCAGGAAGAAGAAAAAAACTATTTGATTCTTATACCAAAATAATAGCATGCTACTTAAAATCGAGGAGCTTAAAGATTTAAAAATTAACTTTGTAGAGAAAACAAAAATTACAAAAATAGAGTAATAGACTAGCTTAGATAGCTAAGATGGAACTCATCCATGGGCTTATTAGTGACTGTTGGGTATTTCTTTTGCTAAGACTGTAAAACCTCCCCCTTGTACAGATACTTCACATGAAAATGCAGATAAAAATAGTTAGATCTGAATTTGGTAGTAAATTCATACATAGCAATATACTTAAAATAAAAGCTATTGTGATCTGAACAATCCTAAACTAACATATTCTGAGAAAAATCTTTTAAAAGGGGAAAAAAAGGTATCTAAATACATCTATTAAAAGACGGATGGATTGTGATTCATCGGATAGCTTCTGGCACAAACTCAGCACACTTCTTGACACAGAGCCAATTTCATACATTTGATACTATACCCCCCAACCTCTTTACTTTGTTATCTCGAGAACACTTGTTCTCTCATACCTGAATGAAAGGTACGACATGCTATTTTGCAATATATACTTCATCACCACATGCTTGATTTTTTCTCAAACAAGGATTATTCCCCAAAGAACCATCTTCAGTTGAATAATAATTTTTTTTTTTTCAAAATTGAGAACCCAAGTCATTGTTACTTGATCCTGGGATATTGACAGTATTCTTACAAAGAGAAGGTAAGCAAATTTATTAAACTCACGTGTAGACTGGCAACATGATGGGAAGGGGATGAGTGAGATGAGGTGCCGATCCCAACATGCTGGATCTCTCGTGTAAAGCTTCTTTGACCATTTTGTACTGCTCTATATCTAGGTTCATGATTGCTTTCTGAAGATACCGAACTCCACCATGGATTAATTTTGTACTTCTACTACTTGTACCAGACGCAAAATCATCATATTCTACAAGGGCAGTCTTCAGACCTAGGAAAGTAATAAACTGAAAATTACTGCCTAACTCAACCAACAGGATAGAAAAAAGATAACGTGATTAAGCACTCTATTTAAAAATTTCTAAAATTCAAAAATTCTATTCAAAGAACCTTAGACCTAAAAAAAATGTTCACCTGTTTTCATAGGTATAAAGGCAATCTAATTCCTCATTGAAGCTTGAATGACAGTTGAGTAAAATGTTAGGATGTGTTATGGATGAATCTGTTATTTGCATGTGCTGCCACACATTGAAATAGCACATGCATTCACTTTTTTCTCTTCCATATTCATGATAAGGTTGAGTACCTAAAAGTGGATTTTCAAAATGAGATAAATATGAGGGATTTAGATTTTTAGTGAAACATTTCATGAGGCTGAAAAATGTAGGTATAAGAAATATAAAAAGTTAATTTCAAGGGCTTGTTATGTACAGTACAACCTGCGCCCAAAAATACCACTTAATGCAAAAAAATAAGTTTTTTTGAGGTTCAATTTTTTCTTTTCCTTTATACATCAGACATGAGAAATAAACATGAAACATTCAATGTCTCCAAGACACATAACATTACCTGAATTTTTTTTAGCATTGGGCTGATAATTTCTCATTTGAGACAAATTTTACGTTGTTTCATAATATTGTGAAATTTCATGAAATATATTCAGAAATTTCGATACCTTCTTTTCTATGAAAAATGTCTACCCTGGCTATACATGTCAGGGTGCAATTCAGAGAATCAAAGAGTTTTATCTCCGCTCGATACTTGACCCCTGAGCAAAATTCAGCTTGACAACATCAACTTGAATTCGAATGGGTAGTCTTCAAGAAATGAGAAAACTGATTGAACATACCTCTTGTGACTGCATCTAGAGCACAACCAGATCCAGTTGCACCACCTCCGATGATCAAAACATCAAAATCTTCCGACTGGAGGGATTTGATCTGTTCATCTCGTGGAGGCAAATGCCTCTTCGCTCGAATGGATTTTTTGCCCTCTGCAGCGGCAACTGTTCTAACTTGCTGCAAAATCAAGCGATCGTGGATTTAAAAGGAGGGAAATTGTGATATGTTTCTAACTGGACTAAAAAGGACTGTGAAAATTAAATAATAACATTATCTTCATAAGACTCAAATTTCCAGAATAAAACAAATTTTTTAAACAATTGACTGTTTTCATTGGCAAACTACTCAAAACAACAAGAAATTTAATTAATTTTTAAGCATTTGTTATCAGAACAAATAGCATCAGCTCTGAATCATTGTTTATTGTTACGACAGCTATCTTCATGACTTTTCTCTTATCATAGAATTTTGATCTTTATATGATATCTACTACGTAAATATCGATGTTGAAACTGCAGAAATGTTTATCTCCGTTGGGTTGCAAACATAGAGTACATAGAGTCATAATGCAAGTGGGAGAGCTGGGGCCACTTTTAAGCATTTTCCAGGTCCCAAATTCCAAGATTCCTGTGCGGCACTGGGTCCCTTTTTTGATACATGGGGACCCGGCCATATTCCACACCGCCATTTTGGATTGAATATGTATCGATAAAGTGACCCCGCACACCCGGCTCGGAACTCGTCGAGCAGAACATGGCGCCAGCTCTCCTGCTTACATTACGACTCTATGTACTCTATAGTTGCAAACTCCCTGTAAGTGGTTTTCATTTTCTACGTAGAAAACTACCGTAGGTACATCGTTGATGACTCATCTTCTCTGCCTTTGTAAAAAATATTCGGTAAACATTTCAAGCCAGCCTTAATGAACTTAACATTAAAAAATGTTGAGTAAGTAAAAGAAACCTTGACATTGTTTCCATTTCCAACTGGGCATACCTAATGCAAATAAGCAGCACACACATAAATGTTAAGGATTAACTACAGTGTAGAGAAAATTGTTAAAACTACCTACAGACTAAATTATTTTTACAGGTGCAAAGGAGAACAACGGCGAAACAGCTAAAACGCGAATTTCGTTGGTGGTATTTATTTATCACTTTACTTATTTCATCAAAAAAGAAATTGAACTGACACAACTACCTACTTAATGCTTGAAATTTTAACAGAATATTCTTTACACCGAGGAGAAATATCAGGAAAGTTTCAAGAGAAATACGTTGAGTACTTTCCTTTTCACAAAATAAGTTATGGCGGGAAGACTGCTGCAGCGTTGCAAGTTGAGATTCCCATTTTTGCAGTTTCACGGTTGAAAAGTTATTTTTTCCTCGATGACTCAATTATACCAACTCTCTTAATACAATCTCACTTTTTTTTTTTTTTTTTTTAACTAGCCCTCAAGGGCTAATCCCATCTGCTCATGAACCAGTTTGAGCCAATCCCTACCAGTTTTTCAGTATTTCCCCTACCAGTCCCTATAGACCAAACTCCTTCCACCTATAACATCTCGGTAGGAGCTCACCCTCCCCCCAGTTATCTCTCTGAAATTTCATTAATTCATTCCATACCCTATTTCTAAAAGCTCCCAATTTCAGTTCCTCCCATTTCTCGCAACCAAATAAAGTATAATCTCTCATTCCCTTAAAGAATAGCATACTATCCACATCCCTAGCATCATTATATTTCAACTCTAAATTCCTTCCCTTTCTTCTATCTAATATTTCCAATAAATCCCTATCTCTTAAATCAATCAGTCCTCTCCTCATCTTATATATGAAGATAAAGACCCTGGCTTTTATCAACAATTCTATGCATAGCCAGCCTAACGTCTCAAGCATATCAATTATCCTATTTTCCTTATCACACCCTAGTATACATCTCATGGCCGAATTCTGTCCCTTTTGCAAATTTCTAATATCCTTACTACTTGCCTCTCCAAGAAGAGAAATGCAGTAATTTAATTTCGCTCCAATTACTGACTGTAACTATTAACCCATTGGTGTTTCACAAAGAAAGTGCTTGTATGAAACTGTTTCGTCCTTGTATTACTACTTTGGAGAAATGATCAAAGAGGGATTCTCATACACCATGCCTACAGAGGAATCATTTCCATTAAATATGAACTGGAAAGGTAGATGAAACTTAACAATCCGTCAGACAGATTTCAACAATGACAGCAAGTAGACATTTCTCCTATTCTATCTATCAGAGATATAAAATGAGAAGCCACTCTGATCCTAGATGTATTGATTCCTACGAAGTGGGAGTGCGCTTAATGTACAAATATATGAGCCGAGACTTTCAGCCTTGCTGCTTTGCTGACAGACTGAGTACGCTGTATTCACATTGATAAAGCTTTGAATTAAAAGTTGTCGATAAGAAGCAGAGGATACTTACAAATGGGTTCTCTCCCGAGAGTAAACATGATGTGACGTATGCACTCGCTCCAAAAACACCGCTGGCAACGGCTAATTTCTTTAAGCGTGATGCCATTTTGAAGTTGACTTATTCGTTCACGTTCACTCTACACAGAAATATAATAAAACTCATGATTAAGATCAATTCGTAAGGATAAACTTCCATATCTTTGTAAAATTAGCTTAATCTAAAAGCAAGAGGTGCCGGCGACAGGCGTAATCATACTGACATTTAATATCCTTGGATTTGGAAGTGAAGAGAATGTGTCAACAAGCCTCTTTCTTTTCAGCTTTATTACTTGGACTGTGTAGTGAATAAAATACTTGAGGCTCAAAGTATCTATAACAACTGGCGGATGAAAAATTTAAAAAAAGTTGGCTTGGCACTCCTAAGGTTCTCTCAAAACAATTCTCAACTCAATCAACAACAAAAGTCACTGCTCACGATTAAAAACTGATTATCGATGTACGGCAGCGAGGAAAATTCGAAAAATGACAAAGTTGTGTCTCTCAGAAAACTTGAATCAAAAGATTGACATGAAAATGTAAATGTACATCCATCATAATTCGCCGTTAAGGTTATGTTAAGGACAACTTGCCCTACCCAGAAGTCACGGGGGACAACGAACTGGGGACAGAATTCGACAAAAAGGACAACGAAAACTGGGAGCTGATAAGTTTAAAGGAGCAAATTACCAGAAAACATTGGAGCGAAACACAATATAGACGACTGAAATCTAAAAAAATTCAGTCGAATCACGGGGAGAACGCAAACATACGGGGCGGATCCGGTGGAGGTTGCGATCGCGACTGGCGCTGAATCTGAAACTGTAACAGCGCGCAAAAGGCGGAGAGGGAGGGGCGCGGAGGGGCAACCAATTCTTCAATTCTAGAATTTTTCAAGGTGGAAGCGCGCCAAGGTCGGCGTAAAGTTATTCAACCTCAAAAACCGCCTCAAAAACTAGGAAAGTTCCGGCAGGGAAATAATACGTGAACTTTCAATGATGAGAGTGAGGGCAGGGGGGGAGCGACGCTGTGGCTGAAGTGAGCGCGCAGCGTGCGACTTGCGTTCAATGGTCTATTATTGCGGGTTTGTCTACAAGGTATTCGCTAAGACAGATTTTTCTGCATGAACTTACCTACCAACATTAGAGAGAGAGAGAGTTTAAGTATTGGAATGACTAAATTTTTTACACAAAAAGGTGAACGGGATCTACTTGGATGGATGTGCGGCCCACCTCCTCCCCCCCTTCCTTTTGAAACGCACTCTCTGAAAACGCACAGTAAAGAAGAATTTTGGCACAAACGGCGGCTCGTAAAAAGTTGGCGTCCACTTGTCCCACTTGTGTGTGGGTATTAGTCCAAGACGACAGTACACACGTGCCGACTGTCAACTTGTGAATTGATCGCAATTGCTTATTAGTATACATGTACTTACTTGCCTGTGCAAAAGAAAAAAATCCCCGAGGCTACCTACTCATCTAGATTAATAGCAACAATTTTCACCACAGATACATTTCATTTCGCATAAAAGTATCTAATTTAGCTGGCAGTCGGTGCGTCAAGATTCTCTTGAACTAGCTCCCCTTATAGATACTATGCCCTCAGGCCCGCCACAAGGGGGGGGGGGGGTACTGGGTCCCTGGAGGGGCCCGTGACGAAGGTGACAAACCACTACGAATTCATGTGTAACCCTTGTCTCGTAAGGAAAAGTGAAAAAATTACTCTAAAAATTCCGTAAAAGGTGAATAAAGTTTCAAAAACACGCTAGGGCACTATTAAATTTTTCTCACTTTTTTAGAGATTTCTATCTATTTTCAAGATTTTGAGTTTATGTAGAATGATATTTTTAGCAACTGCGTTTCATTTTCTTCCGTTGACGGATGCTAAGAGGCTCCTGTCTGGGCATCCTCAACTTCGATGGCTCAACTCCCTTGCCATAGACGTACGAAAGGGGAGTCCAGGGGGGCCCGGCTTAGCCTAGAATTGAAAATGATCATCTGCCCCCCTCAAAAAAACATTTATAGATGTTTTGAATGCAACAATTCGAAAGTATTTAGTGCTGAAAGTAAAAAAAAAAAGGAGTAATTATTCTGCAGAAATTGATGGAAAATCTCCATCATAAGGGCTTCAAAATGCGTCCTAATAGATTTAAAATTTCAAACATTTCCCGGGGGAGTCCCCCCGAACCCCCCTCTGTGCTAGGGGCCCGGGCCAGAAAACTGGTACCAGGGCCCGAGATGGGATGTGGCGGGCCTGTATGCCCTTCCAATACTTAAAGGAATTACTTCGATGGAACTTCCATTATCTGCATCTCCTTGATTATTAGGTAACGGTGCCTTGTAAATATGTAGGCGGTACAACGCTTTTATCTGACAATGATGACTTAAAGAGATTTCGAGGAATGATTCCAAGTTTCGGCCTAGGTTCCAGCGGTGCGCCCGCTCCGACACCCCCCCCCCCCCTGATTTTGATACCTCAACAGGGCCGGTTAGGGGATAGCCACATGGGCCGCGGCCCATGGCAGCAAATTTTGTGATTTTTTAAATGTTGGTATATAAAAAAAATCGGATTCAGAAAAAAAAATTACAAACGAGAGACGGCGATAATATCTCTCATTTCCTGATAGCATTGTAATCTCTAGTTTTGTCGTCTTTCGGTGCTACAAGAGACAGCACTTTTAATTTGTCGTGTAAAGATGAAAAACCAAACACCCACGCAATTTGGCCTAGAACGGCGCACTATGGTCCACAGACCCTACCTATTTAACGGAACTTTAGTCAAATTTTGAAGGTGGGAAAAATTAAAGTTTGGCACTACAGTCTTATCATACATACTCCCAAGGATCGTCACCTAAGTTTTCATCGACTAATAATGATTTATAAGATTGTGACGGACCCTAACAACAGAGCGCTCGACAGGTCTTCATTAGCTGATTGTGGGCCGCATTCGGTGGTGCGTTACAAGGTGTTTATTTTACCGAGTTACGCATCATCTATGTAAATTTTTGGGCGACATGGTTCCACCTGGTGGCAAGGGACTTCCTTTTCACCCAGTTTCATTAATTTTGAACTGAAATTTGTATGCTTTTTAACGCTGCAAACATACCTACGCCAAAAAATGATAGAAATCAGTGAAATTCGTAATTTTTAGGAAGCTCCAACTTTTTTTAATTCTAGTTAATGCTTTGCGGATTGAAAAATCTTGTTCTACATATCCTTAAGTTTAAAATGAGGCCAATTTAAATGTCGCCTTTTGTCGCCTAATGGTCGAAATGAATTTTTTTCGGAGTGCACCTCCGTGCATCAAAATGTGGAATATTCCATGCATTTTTGGCGTTTTTGCGACTGTTAAATTTTTTATCGGTACAAAATGAAAGTATTCCGATATATTTTGATCTACTGAGTCCGAAAATGACCTTGGTTTTTTCTTATAACCTCTCACTTTTCCGAAAAAGCGACTTTTTCCCGGGAAAATGAGCAAATTTGACGTATTTTTGCCATAATTGCAATTCATGTTGATAAATTATACTGGACCATTGGTAAAGAGATTCTGTTATGTATATTAAGCTGCTAAATCCGAATATGACCTAGGTTTTTTTTATCACCCTCCAGTTCTCCGATAATGCCGATTTTCCCGAGCCTTTTGGGTAAAACCTTTTCCGGACTCTAAGTGTGTTAAAAATACATTTTAAAAATGATTTCGATGTGCGATACATCGATTCTCATGCATTCTGACTTGCTAAACCCGAATATGGCCTTAGATTTTTCCTATCATTCTCATTATCCCGGAAAATTCAATTTTCCTTGGAGAACGAGCTTTTCCGGGTAAAATCGGTTTTTCCGAAAAATTGAAGGGTAATGGACAAAAACAGAGGTCATATTCGGATTTACCGCCTAAAAATACATAAGAATAACCTAATCTCGACCGAGAGACATTTTTGTTATTATTTTTATACATGTCAAAATAGGGTGGAAAAAATCTTCAATCTTAAAAGCGCCAGAAATTACATTTGAAGTTAAGTTTCTCGGTCAGGATGTTAATATTTTGTTTAACTAAGATGTAAAATGAAATCAGCGACCCAAAAATCATAAGATCCAACACCTTTTATGGCGGTGCAGTGCATTTTCGAATAAAGTTCCGTTAAATCCAGTCTGTGGACCATAGTGCGGCGCGGCGCAGAGAGCAATGATGACGAGGATTTGAGATGAAAAGAAGAAGCCCTCGGCGCGGTGGTCGGCATGTAACACATATTAGCGCCTACAAGACGGCGTGAATACTTCTCGCATTGCGTCAAATACCTACACTGCGGTCAGCGGCGCGCGGCGGTCGGCTGGAAACGCATAGCGCCCACAAGACTGCATGAATACTTCACGCATTGCGTCAAACACAGTGCGTCCAGCAGCCGTTCGGCGTGAAACACATAGCGCTTACAAGACCGTAGGAATATTTCACGCATTAAGCCAAACACAGTAAGTACGGTCAGCGCGGCGCGGCGGTGGAAGTTAAAATTATTTGACCATATTTATGTATGTTCTTTCATAATTTTTTCGTTTATTTCTTGTGAATGGAAGGCCTTGTCCATACAGAGATAGGTAATTTACGGAACTTGACTGTCGCGCCAAGTTCCATGAACTTTTGCTCGTATAGTGTTGTCAGAGCTTTCGCAAAAAATGTGTCCACGCGTAAACGCATCTTATATGCACCCCTCCCCCTCTCCCTCCGGCACGTTCACTTGATGATTTTTATTCGTGTTTCAGAACGAATGAGAAGGGGGCGGCAAAATACCGGCAGCCCATGAGCGGCAAGAAGGTAAATCCGGCCCTGTACCTCAATCGCACTGATAGTGTTACATACACGAGTATATTTTATGCAGTAAGTATAATACGTAATCTGATGAATGAACAGTGAGGTATATGCACATTAATAAATTAAATTGAATATGAAAATGAAAAGAAGCGCTTGGTGCAAAATTAATATCTGCTTTGGACTAGAATACCTTTATAAACAGAGTATGGCCATTTCTGTTCCGGTTTTTCATTGGTCGCAAGCGAATAGGCTGACACGATGCTCTTAGGGCCGTAAATAAACAAACAAGATGGCTGTTATCAGCAAGCAAAATTTAGGTTATGCACACCTTACATCCTCCTGTGATAAAGGTGAAAGGCGATTTAACAATGTTTTCGTGGTTGCGAGAGTGTGTGTGTCCCTTTGACGAGCCGCGGGTTGCCGCATCTGATCAATGAGTGGGAGAGAGATAGACGATAAAACGGCGGCTTGTCAAAGCCGAGTGTGCTCCTTTGAAGTGCCGCATCTGAGCAATGAGTGCGAGAGAGAGAGACGACAAAACAGCGTATGGACCAATCCAAGTTGAGCCTTAGTCCCCGTTAACGGCCGTTCTTTCCAGGGCTCATGGTCGGAAAGCACTCCGGTGCTTTTTCGGGGCACCCGGATTCGGGCTCGCCACTATACCACCGCGGACCAAATTGCGAGGCCCAGCCTGTATTTTTGCGAGTGCGTGTGTGTGTCCCTTTGACGAGCCGCGGGTTGCCGCATCTGATCAATGAGTGGGAGAGAGATAGACGATTCCGAGGCGGCTTGGCAAAGCCGAGTGGTCTCCTTTGACGTGCCGCATCTGCCCAATGAGTGCGAGAGAGAGAGACGACAAAACAGCGTATCGACCAATCCAAGATGAGCCCTGCTCCCCGTTTACGGCCGTTCTTTCCCGCGCTCACGCTTGGAAAGCACTTGGGTGCTTTTGCCGGCAACGGAATTCCCCAGCGCACTACCACCGTGGACCGAATTACGAGGCCCAGCCTGTATTTTTGCGAGTGTGTGTGTGCGCCAGGTGTCCCTTTGACGAGCCGCGGAATGTTGCATCTCATCAATGAGTGCGAGAGAGATGGACGATTCCAGGGCGGCTTGGCAAAGCCGAGTGGTCTCCTTTGACGTGCCGCTTCTGCCCAATGAGTGCGAGAGAGAGAGACGACAAAACAGCGTATCGACCAATCCAAGATGAGCCCTGCTCCCCGTTTACGGCCGTTCTTTCCCGGGCTCACGCTCGGAAAGCACTTGGGTGCTTTTGCCGGCAACGGAATTCCCCAGCGCACTACCACCGCGGACCGAATTACGAGGCCCAGCCTGTATTTTTGCGAGTGTGTGTGTGCGCCAGGTGTCCCTTTGACGAGCCGCGGAATGTGGTATCTGATCAATGAGTGCGAGAGAGATGGACGATTCCGAGGCGGCTTGGTAAAGCCGAGTGGTCTCCTTTGACGTGCCGCATCTGCCCAATGAGTGCGAGAGAGAGAGACGACAAAACAGCGTATCGACCAATCCAAGATGAGCCCTGCTCCCCGTTTACGGCCGTTCTTTCCCGGGCTCACGCTCGGAAAGCACTTGGGTGCTTTTGCCGGCAACGGAATTCCCCAGCGCACTACCACCGCGGACCGAATTACGAGGCCCAGCCTGTATTTTTGCGAGTGTGTGTGTGCGCCAGGTGTCCCTTTGACGAGCCGCGGAATGTTGCATCTGATCAATGAGTGCGAGAGAGATGGACGATTCCGAGGCGGCTTGGCAAAGCCGAGTGGTCTCCTTTGACGTGCCGCTTCTGCCGAATGATTGCGAGAGAGAGAGACGACAAAACAGCGTATCGACCAATCCAAGATGAGCCCTGCTCCCCGTTTACGGCCGTTCTTTCCCGGGCTCACGCTCGGAAAGCACTTGGGTGCTTTTGCCGGTAACGGAATTCCCCAGCACACTACCACCGCGGACCGAATTACGAGGCCCAGCCTGTATTTTTGCGAGTGTGTGTGTGCGCCAGGTGTTCCTTTGACGAGCCGCGGAATGTTGCATCTCATCAATGAGTGCAAGAGAGATGGACGATTCCGAGGCGGCTTGGCAAAGCCGAGTGGTCTCCTTTGACGTCCCGCTTCTGCCCAATGAGTGCGAGAGAGAGAGATGACAAAACAGCGTATCGACCAATCCAAGATGAGCCCTGCTCCCCGTTTACGGCCGTTATTTCCCGGGCTCACGCTCGGAAAGCACTTGGGTGCTTTTGCCGGCAACGGAATTCCCCAGCGCACTACCACCGCGGACCGAATAACGAGGCCCAGCCTGGATTTTTGCGAGAGTGTGTTTGTGCGCCAGGTGTCCTTTTAACGAGCCGCGGAATGTTGCATCTGATCAATGAGTGCGAGAGAGATGGACGATTCCGAGGCGGCTTGGCAAAGCCGAGTGGTCTCCTTTGACGTGCCGCATCTGCCCAATGAGTGCGAGAGAGAGAGACGACAAAACAGCGTATCGACCAATCCAAGATGAGCCCTGCTCCCCGTTTCCGGCCGTTCTTTCCCGGGCTCACGCTCGGAAAGCACTTGGGTGCTTTTGCCGGCAACGGAATTCCTCAGCGCACTACCACCGCGGACCGAATTACGAGGCCCAGCCTGTATGTTTGCGAGTGTGTGTGTCCCTTTGACGAGCCGCGGGTGCCGCATCTGATCAATGAGTTGGAGAGAGATAGACGATAAAACGGCGGCTTGTCAGAGCCGAGTGTGCTCCTTTGACGTGCCGCATCTGCCCAATGAGTGCGAGAGAGAGAGACGACAAAACAGCGTATGGACCAATCCAAGTTGAGCCTTAGTCCCCGTTTACGGCCGTTCTTTCCAGGGCTCATGGTCGGAAAGCACTTCGGTGCTTTTTCGGGGCACCTGGATTCGGGCTCGCCATTACCACCGCGGACCAAATTATGAGGCCCAGCCTGTATTTTTGCCAGTGTGTGTGTGTGTGTCCCTTTGACGAGCCGTGGGTTGTCGCATTTTATCAATGAGTGGGAGAGAGATAGACGATAAAACGGCGGCTTGTCACAACCGAGTGTGCTCCTTTGACTTGCCGCATCTTAGCAATGAGTGCGAGAGAGAGAGAAAGGACAAAACAGCGTATGGACCAATCCAAGTTGAGCCTTAGTCCCTGTTTACGGCCGTTGTTTCCAGGGCTCATGGTCGGAAAGCACTCCGTTGCTTTTTCGGGGCACCCGGATGCGGGCTCGCGCCACTACCACCGCGGACCAAATTACTAGGCCCAGCGTGTATTTTTGTTTTTTTCGTGTGTTATTCGTAGATATGCTAGTTTAAATTGTTACTGCCGTATAATTGAAATTTTTGTCAAATTTAGCTTCTTATCGATGTTACGGTGAGTCGCCATCTTGTTTGTTTATATACGGCCCTAAGAGCATCATGAAGCCTAAAAACTCGTTGACCAATCAAAAAGCGGAACAGTTTTCCGGTAGTAAAAAGATACGAATGGCCATACTCTGTCTATAAAGGTACTTTAGCTTGGACTGCGTGGAGCTCGAGAGCGCTCCTTCAATGAAGAAAGATACTACTTCATTAACTTCAACGTTGCTCAAATTACATACCTTCAAAATGAAGGAGCACTCAATTCCACGATTGGATATTGTTGTTGAACAGATACCCATATCATGGACCAAGAGAATAAATATTGAGAATAAATTAAAAGGTAGAGAGAATAAATGAATTAAATATTAAAAGAGAATAAATATTTATTCTCTTGGTCCATGACCATACAGCAAAACTTGAGAGAGGATGGCCAAGGTACATAGTGGGTAAGCCAGTCAAATTATGTTCACAGCTTTGCAAGAATCTAATAAAATTAAATCAATCCAAATAATTCTGACATTTTCGAGAAATTTATTGCAGTGGCAGATTCTTGGACTAGAATTTTTCAATTGAAGGCACAAGAGATGTGAATCTTCACGGCAAGTGGGTACCATTGAATAAAAATCTTAATTCCTTGATGACTATAGTCGATTAAAAATATATTAAACCACTGGACCAGATCTGAGCTGAGAATATGAGGATGAGAATATGTGATCGGTTACTGCGCTCAAGAACATAGGGTAACTTACTCCACACTCTGCTAGGTGCTAGCACAGTAGCTATTATTCTGTGGCACAGTCAAAGGTAGGCCTGTGCAAAGGCAAAAGTACCACTGAGTTATCTCACATATCTACTTGAATACCTTTCAAACCTCACTGTAGAAATCTTGTGCTTGTTATGAAGCTAAGAATTGTCAACACATTATTTCTATAAAGGAACATGTCCATTTCCAGATGACCCCTAGAATAGTTGGGCTATTGTGTAGCCAACAGGTCATCCGTAAATGGGAATATTCCTCTTTTGAAGCAACTTCTGTCCAGTACACAATTCTTTACCAATTCGATTTATTTCATTTTTCTGGAGGTTCTGAAGCTATAGGTAAACTGGCAGAGCTCACTTATTAGATGACCCTCGTAACACAGCAAAAGTACTCGCCAGCGAGCTGACAGCATGCCCAAAATCAGATTCTTACAGCAAGTATGACTTTTGGAGCACAGTTGCAGTCAATGTGCTTATTTTACAGGTCATAATTCATAAAACAAACTGGTTGATGTTTACAAAAAATGTGAACACTTTAAGTTTTGACCAAAATGAGCTATAGAATTTTAAAGGCAAAATTGGCTTTGTATTGCAAAAAGTACATACATATTTGTTGATTTCCAAGATGGTTGGCAAGTAACAAATATTTTAAGACGTGCAATGTACGTAATCAACTATATTTTCAGTACTATGCAAAAGCTGCAAAAAATGAAAGCCTTATTTTCGTTGAAATAGTAGGAAGTTCACAAGCTACCACTTGCAGTATTCAAGAAGTTTTCAGAGTTAATACAGCCATTAAATCTTTACAGACATCATAAGCACTAGGAAAATAAGAAAAGAGATGAGAGACAAAAAAAAACAAAAGTATGTAAGCTTAGAACAATAATTAACATTTTATTCACAAATAATAACAAAAAAGAAACAGAAGGAACTGAAAAAACTAAAGTTAATGAGTTCGAGGCATAAAATTTTTGCAGTGTATCTGACAGTATCATTTCATCAAAAAAACTACAAGGTCAATTAAAAAAGTTGAAAAACCACTTCGTCCGGAAGAAAAAGCTAATTAAAATCTGGCCTACACAAATGCAGACTTTCTTACCTGCCTACATCATAGCAGACTGCCGAAAATGTTGTGTCTAACAAATCCAGATTTTGGTGACTTTAAAATTGTTTTTCTCTGTCAATTTGAGTCAGAAAAATAATAAAAAAAAAAAATTACAGGAGACTCTATTTACTCAGCATTTTATGAAAATTAATTTAAAAAAATAGGTGCAACTAACCCATTGGAAGCTCTGGATGAAGACCAATCCACTCGTACCAGTCACTCCACATGTTTTTGAGTTATACTTTATCGCCTGATCTTTACTTGACCGGAATAAAATATACATTAAATTTAAACTTTCCCTGCCAATATGCGGTAGGGTCTCAAAACTCACCCACAGGAAAAACCGATTCGTGTGGAGTGGTCTTGCTTCAGAGTTTCTCAGAGCAACAATTAACTTTCAATTATTATAAATATGATTCTAAATTCATGTAGAAAATTAAGGAAGAGGAAAACACGATGATAAATGATGTGAAAATTGAATGGAAACAAGAGAACCTATGATGAGATGAAAGTTAGATGACCAAAAGACGTTGGATTTCAGACTTTGCGGAAGCTCCTTAAAACAGGAACAATAGTGTCAAGAGCCTCGATGATCTCTGCTTTACTTTTGGCACCTATATGAAACAAAACAAAAACAAGAAAATAAGGTAATAAATGTAATTATATTTGAGAGACTGGATCATGGCACATTAATTCATAAAATTAGGAGCCTCAGATCGATGAACTTAGGTAATTTATGTTTCCTGAATGTATTTTAAGGAATGATTGTGAGTATATCTTTTGTAGCGCTCTTGTCTTTGACGATATTCTCAAAAATAAACTACAATGAGCCACTTCAAAATTTTATCAATTTCCTAATTGAACTGAATGAGCATTTAACAGGTAAATAAAATTCTAGATATTAGTGATAATTTCATAAAGGAGCCATGTCCATCCTTCTTTGACTAGTTGAGGATTCGTAATCTTCCACTTGAAGAAACGTGCCTTGCCAGCACTGCATCAGTATTTCTACGAGAATTTTATTTTTTCATAGGAGAATCGTTGCACAAATTTGTCTGCAGATTTCAGAATCTGTACTCACAACAGTGGGGAAAAATCACTCAAAAAGGAAAATGTCAAACAAACTCATATGACTTTCTGAAAAGAAAAGTTTTGAAAAAATTTCTTCCTCTTACCAAAATAAAACAAAAAAGGAACCAGTGCACTTAAAAGGAAAATGTTATGGTGATGGCACTTACCAGTGACAATCAACTTTCCGTTGACAAAAATTAAGAGCACAACACGAGGCTTCACCATTCGGTAAATCAGTGACGGAAACAGTTCAGGCTCGTAACTGAAAAAAATAAATAAATTATTGGAATAACATAATACCCAATAATAGGTTTGAAGCCTCTAAAAAATCATGAATGAAATTATGAAAAATAGGTACGTGTTCTGGAATAATCTACGACATTAACTCTGGACCAAGGTTCCTAAAGTTTTATAGGTCAAATACATTCAGTTTCAATGTACAATAGAGTCATTTGGAGAGGAGCGATTTGGTAAAATCAGAAGGAGGTACACAGAGAAGTCCAGTCAGTGGCCCAGAGAAAATTTCCAAAAATATCTGATAAAATGATACGGTGTCTTCAAACTTGGTGGGAAAACTTCCCTGACTTTTCCAGGTTTTTCGGACCAAAATGCTTGAAATTCCCTGACCTTCACATCAACAATTTGCACACATAGAACTGAAAATTAATAATTCTAGGCATTAACTTCACTGCAAATGACAGAAACATATCTGCCTTCCTGCTCCATGTATTGATCATTTAATCAACTGAAATTGCGATTCTTTATTGGAAACAATTCCTCTTTTCACTATTCAGAGTGTGATTCAGAGCATTGGACCTAGAACCTGACCAAGACTCAGTTTATGTAGACTGCACTGATGTTTTTATCAGATTACAAGTTTCAAGATTTTTAAAATTACCAACTTTACTTTATCCTGATTTCCCTGACCTAATGAAATTTCCTGATAATCCCGGTTTCTTAGATTTTCCAGATCTGTAAATATGTACTCTAAATGAGCCAACCCTTGTCCCTCAACCTTTGAACAATACCCCCAGCCAGTACTACTAACTTTGCCTCTCAACCGCCACCTTTCATGGTGTAGACAATATAGGAATTTTCCCGATGATAAACAAGTCTCCATTGATAATTACTGATTGCATGGAATTAGCATTAAATGGGTAGATTTTCTATTGGTAGCTATAGCATTACTAGGTATTTTGATCAGAATTTCGTTAAAAAAAAAATGTCAAATGACTAGAAAATACTGTAGAAAGCTATACTGACTTGCAAAATTGTCCATGGAGTTGATTCAGATTCTCAAGACGAATAGGAAACCTTAGATCACAAGTTGCTACTACATTATGTACTTTATAATTGATGAATTTCACCTAGAAAAAGAAAGAGAAAAAAAGTTAATATGTTTAGGTTAATGAATAAAATTGATATTTTTTAAACACACATAAATGTTCAGGAGTTGTATACCTAGATTGTTTTATGAAAGATAATTGGATACATTCGTTGGTTATAATGAAAAGAACTGCTACATCTAATACTTCATATTTTGACAAAAACACTTCTCTACTTTCAGAGAAACCCCTTTCTAAAATTTGCTGTTCACAAATTGCGATCGAATCCAATTTGGGATTTGAATAAATGTGTACCAGAACCATTTGCACCAAACACTTAAGTATTACTTATAGATTTAAATTAGAAACACTCAGTAATGCCTGTTTGATTTCAGTAGCACCAGATCCACCCTGCATAGGGCTATAGGTATCAAATAATGCATACTCATTCTTTCATTCACATTGTACATTCTTCACTGTGATTTTGTTTGTATGTATCAATAACACGACAACATGACTATACCTTCTATCCAGTGATTCACCACAAAACGGTAAGTATCTACTCATGCACAATAGTTTTGCCCGAGAAAAAATGAGTAGGATAAAAAGAAAATGAACAAAATATTTTTCTTGATTGGACAGGATAGTTAAATCTCCATTTACACTTACTGGAAAATTTAATTTTTGGAGGATCCTAGCAAATTTTCTTGAAGCTAAATTTGCAGAATTTTCATCTCTTGCACCAGTTACGACCATTTTCCCGGAACGGAACACAAGCGCAGAGGTACGCGGCTCCCTCAACCTCATGACGACCCCACAAAATCTAGATGGGTTGTACTCTGAATTCCGTACTTGATTGTTGATTTTGACTAAATCTAACTGACAACCTAGATCTACTGAGCTGACGGTATTCCTGAAAAAAGAAAGAGGTATAAATGTAAAAAAATCGTTTAATTGACGATTTGATGGTTACGAAGCCACACCTTAAAGCCTTTTAGCAAAAGAATCAGACCGGCAAAATTTGGAGAGATGAAATCAACTTTTTGGACAAGAAGCAAATTTTTCCATAGAAAATATTCCACAATAGTATTCATGAATAGAAAATTATTTTGATTGAACTCTCAATTTAATGGATTATTCGCTTTTGGTTTGCTTCTTTTTAATTGAAAATATTTGATTCAGTGGGAATGTGAAAATTTATTTACGTCTTTGTTTTGGGAAGGTTCCCTCGAGGTAGTTATAAGAAAATTCATACTAAAGTATTCTTTCTTTCTATCTTGCATTATTTTGCTATGTTCTTTGGTAGGACCACAATCCGTTGACTTTAATACCAATTTTTTTTTTTTTAAGCACAGGTTATTCAGGCTGCTTGTGGGTTGAAGTAATGACAAAAAGAATCTTTCATTGTTCCTATTTGTAAAAAAAATCTTGGTCAGAATAAGATGGGGCTTTTCAAAATTCATTCGTCTGAATTATGAATCTAACAGCAAAGATAGGCATAAACTGACATGTCATTACAGCTTCAGCACATAACTCAAGAGCTGAAACTGACAAAAAAAGAACATTATGTGAAATATTACCACATTGCTACACAAATCTGATCATAGATAAATCTAATTCTACTTCAATGTCAGTCATATGTTTCCCTCTGATTGCTGATTTATTAGAATTAGAATTTTTCTTGAAATCATGAGACATCCTCGTTGAAAGTGCTCAAAACGTTTCTTTTCAAGGGTGCAAAAAGATTTTTTTGAGTAAAATTATAAACTAGAGGAAACTAAAAATTACCATGAACAAGATACAGACACTTCAGTATATTTCAAAAATTCTAACTTTAGTTAGAAAGCGCTTGTTATGTAGGATACGGTAAAATGTATTTTCTTACATAGTCATATCAGTTTATAACATTTTGGAGGGACAATTAGAAGTAGAATGTTCTTTCCAGAAAAACATTGATTCCTATATGTTGTTACTGTGACATATATTGAAGGTATTCTTCATATTTGGAGACGTCTTTAAGACCGGTAGGGTTCATAAAAAGTTTTAAAAGTTTACTTTGGTATCAAAAATAAAAATGACATAACTTATTCCTCCCTTCTACCTGCATGACTGTAAAGTGGTTGTGTCATTGGATAAAAATGTAAGGGAAAATTGACATGAAAATTTATCTTGAGGCAATTGGAAATCTTATTTGTTTTGGTGTACTTAGCATTTTCAAAAGTTCATTCTCCAGGACACTGATTGTTGCGATAAGCTCTTAAGCTCCTTATTTGGCAATTTGGCACATGAATTATCCAATACTTAATACATTTTCTCTTTATGCTAAACAAACAAAATTGATCATTGTTTCTGGAAAAACATTATATTAGAAAATATTACAACGAAATGATTAAATTATTAGAAAAATTATGATTTTTTATGTGCGGTCAACAAGGACTTGAGGGAACGATCGTTGTTTCTGGAGAAACGATATTTACGGAGATTTTTTTCCAGAAACGTTACTTCCGACAAGGTACAACTGTGCTTCTCCTCACAGGCAACTTTTATGGAAAAATATTCTTTTTTCCTATACAAAGCAAACCAACAGAAAAAACATATAAAAAACCAGGAATATCAGAAACTTAGTTTTTAAATTTTTTAATGAGTTAAATGTTTTGGAGAGAGCCCTCTATTTCAATAAATTCTGTTCCTTTTCCTCTTAATTTTAGCTATTCATTCATACTTTGTTTTTCCTCTGCATCTGCAATTTCACTTTTTGGAGAGAATATTCGCTAAGCTCATCACTTTTTTCAACGCCTTGAAAAGAGCCCTCCACTCCAATTAATTCTGCTTACTTTCCTCTTAATTTAACAATTAATTAAGTTACCACTTGTTATAGTTATTCATTCATACTTTGTTTTTCTTCTGCATCTACAATTTCACTTTTTTTTTGTTTTTTTTTGTTTTTTTTTGTTTTTGTCGTAAATTTTTCTCTTACTATTGAGCCTTAAAAATATTATTTTTTTGTTCTGTCAGGCTATGCCAACCATTGTTTAGTTATTTCCTTGTTGTTTATCTTATTTGGTTTAGTAACATATGCCACACAAGCTCACTTTTGGCATATGGAGCTGTTTTGTTTTACTTTTGTAAATTTAAATTTTTGAAATAAATAAATCTTGAAATCTTGAAATCTTAGTTCAGAAACTTACTGGATGGTTGGAATGATACCCGCCTCAGTGCTGGCTGAGACAGGGGCTGTATTCGTTACCAACTCCCTGTGAGGATTTGGAATTACAGGAATTGCCTTGGAAGCTACATTCGGAATGACCTAAAACAAACACCATTTTGTCAAAAAAATTGACCATTCACATAAATGATGTACTGCACATTCGATACGTAGTAAATTTAACCTAATGGTTCTCTAATGTTGCCTGCATTTGCATGCCTCTTTTTTGCATACTTGCAAAAAAACCATCAGTAAAATTTTCTTAAGTTTTTAAAAATTGTTTAAATCAATTCGACAGAAAAACTCGAAAGATCCAAAGCCTCCCTCACATTTGTTTTTCTGATTTAGAGTAATTTTTTTTTTCTTCATTTTACCAACTTTTTGGGGGAAGGTAGTCCTTTACATACATTAACATGTATGTTGTACCAAAATTATTTCATGCTCCCTGTTGTTAAGTGATCAGTGAAAGCTTTAAACATGCAAATTAGAATAGGGCTGTGCTTAACCTTCAGCTTTAAAAGGAAACCTTGCAGAGGTCTCTGAGATAGAAGTTGCCATTATTACAGCATAATAAGAGATAATAAGTCAGGAGACCACCTGGCAATCTCCGGTAACATTTTCATTAAAAAAACTCAAGCAAGGAACTGAAGAAATCATTACTTTTTCCGGAAAAAAGAATGCAATGGAATAAATGGATAAATTAAGGATAAATGTATTACTTTTTATTGTATTAAATACATTGTAAGAATCTACGCCAAATAAGTTTAGGCACTTTTAGACTATGACGGAAGATCGTCTCACATCCATTTAGCATGAGAAAGAAATGTAAGAATCAAGATGGCAGATCTTCCGTTGCAGTTTATGGGTAAATGTGTGAACTTATTTAGCATGGACTCTAATTAGGAAACAATAATTCCTATGCTTTTGCCATGGGCATCAACCCATGTAAAAAATTAAATATATTACATGCTCAGATTTTCATTCCACATTGACAAAGACTTACAGACTTAGCTGTTTCAGCAGCAGCTACTGCTCGTGAGTTGTCCTCCTCTCCTTGGTTCTCCATTATGAACTCAAACCTGGGGAAAAAAACACATCCATTAGTGACAGGAATGCCGAAAAGGAGTTTGAAAAAGGCTCTCTTTTGCTCTTGCTTACTGGGGTATGAGTCAACAACTTTTAAAAATTGGAACCAATATACTTACAGTGGTAGACTTGCCAATTGTTCTCGACCGCGCGAACGCAACCAAATTGAGGATTTGCCTAAAAAATTGTGGAGGCTGAGTATTTTTTTTAAAATTTTTCAGTTTATTGCTTTTGAACTCTTAAGGAATAATGCAACTTTGGCACACATTTCAGAGTTAACAAGAAATGAAACAAAATATTGATCAGCGCTTTGTGTTGACCTTTTTCGTAAAAACCCAGCATATTCCAGAATACTGGGTTTGAGGACATTCTGTCAATGATTTTTTGTCCGCGCACCTGTTTTGTCCAAGAGTTTACGTCCACGTGTAAAATAAGCAACAGTTTTTTTTCTTTTTCATCCATTTAAAGGAGAATAAGTAATCCATGCAGCATGAGCAAACATTTCCAAATCATGAGTTGAAAACGCTAACTCTGCAAGTTTAAATATTACAGCCAAAAACAGAGCGGACCGGCGCACTGCTGGCACTAAAGGCTCACTGGCGCCTACACACCTACAGAGATTCTACTTACATGTGGACCAATTAACTTTGGGTTTCAGTTGGTACATGGACCAAAACTCCCGTGCCGAAAAAACACGTGAACGTGAACTAGGAACTGGAAAAACAGGTGCGCGGACAAAAAATCGTTGATGAATGTCCTATAACCAAATACTGCAGAAGGCCTAGGACAATTTACATCCCTGGATTGGTGGAGCTACACTTCTTCAAAAATGATGCAATAGTACTGAGCCATTGGCACTAATCGCATAAGAACCGTCCTTAACAGGCATCACCCAATAGAAGGAAGGAGACACATATGAACATGGCGATTCTTGTAGTAGTGCAAGGCAGTTAATACAGTGAGACCGTTGAAAATATAGTTGAATCAGCAAACCTGATTGGACTGCGGCTGCCAGGTCGTGAGAAATTCACAAGTTAGTCAGAAAAATTCATTGGACTTAAGCTAAAATTGCTGCGCATCTGAGTGGAGATGATGAAATGACTTAGGCCCTTAAATTTTGAGCAAATATTAATGACTGGATGGTATGGTATCCTAAACCCCTTGGCGATGAATGCCACTGTTAGTGCTCCGATTTTCTTGCCACAATATTTCGCACAAAAAAGGAGGGTCTTCGCGGATATGCTTTAAACTAACCTTAACTATTGGATTACAGATGTGTTTTCACTGAGGGATGAAACTCTAAATGGGCTGCAATATTCGTAAAATATACAAAATTAAAACGAAAGTACTAAAATTACTAAAATAAGAAGAAAAATTCCAGCGTGACACTTTTCAATGCACTTTTGCAGGACGAAAATAATAACATTGCTGAATGGTTTATTGTGGAGTCAGGTTTTTGATGCAATGTCGGTCGTAAACTTGTAATCTTTGTTTCCTTCGTCCATTTTTGTTCGTTTCCCCTCGCTTCTCGCTCTCGGAAGGGCTGTTCACAATTTTCTCACGCGTCGATTTCCATCCTTGTTGGTAATTTCCTACCTGTAAACTCTGTCCTATTTCCAAGTATCTGAGCTAATTTACAACCCTTAACTCTCCTCATTTTGTTCGAAATTTTCGGTGAAAGTGCTCTTCGTCCTCCGTCACTCCAGTCTCATGGCAGCATAAGAACGCCTTCTGTCAACGTCGCAGTTTGTTTACAGCGTGTGAGGAAGGAATCTATCCAAATTCCTGTCGTTAAACCGCCAGACCATTCTCCGTCTCCCGAGGAAATAAGAAGTCTCGCACCAAAGTAAAATGTCATCCCGCAACGACTCGAGGTCCGAACGAAACGAGTGCAGGGTTTACGTCGGTAACCTCCCACCAGACATTCGCACCAAGGATATCCAGGATCTGTTTTACAAGTTTGGAACCGTCACGTATGTTGATTTGAAGAACAGAAGAGGACCGCCCTTCGCCTTTGTCGAATTTGAGGACCCTCGGTGAGCTTTCTTTTCTCTACTACAAACTGCGCTCAGCGAGGGAGGACTCAACCAATGCTGAGTCGGTGTTTCTTCCCACCGCAGAACGAGCTCTATGGATTTGAGGACCATATTGGAATCCTTCATTTAAAGTGTCGTCAAAAAAGATTAGCATTATCTCATATATAATTGGTGTGCCTAGTTGCCTCTTCATCACCCGTCAGCGCCAATGGTTTTGGCCGCCACTTTTCTTTCTGCATCAAGATGAAATTGGTTGCAGCTGTCATTAACTTTTGTCCCCTTTTTTCTACTGTATCACTAATCTTTGGTGAATTTGAGATCCCGGAGTTTAACATCCCTCCTATTATGTGTCCTTGTACTAGAGTAAGTCTTGGACCTTTCATCGATATCAAAACGATCAGTTTTGAGTTTCGTAACCATGGAGAAGCCTGCTGTTTTCTTAATGTTTTTAGCATCCAATTCAGGTTCCTGTTTTGCAAATCAGTGGTTCCACCAATCGCCATCCCTTAATAGAATTGAATTTAGATCTTACGCCTGTCTTGACTAAGAACACTCAACGCGCTCCCATTATGTAGCTAACGGCAGCACCACCGATGAATTTTACCATGTCTAAGCGATGGAAGATTCTTTAAAGCTTTTCAATTACAGTACAGCTTGGACTACCCAAGTGGTAGCCCCTAGATTTCCTACAGAGGATTTTACTGATCAGCTGAAGTGAACCTGTTTTAATAAAACACCTGAAGTACCTAACTAACTTTTTTGACAACACTACTTGATTAGTTCATATTGTTTCATTCCAATGTGCCTGTATTAGCACATCCTTAAGGACTCTAACACTTGAGATAATGAAACCTCGCAGTGATTACTCACCTGAGTTGCATTTTTTCCATTGATGAAATGAAGTTTTAGGAGTTGCTAAGTTGTAGTAAGATTTTGGAAGCTAAAATTGGTTGTAATCTGAGCCTCAAAATTTTGCCTGTACCAAGAAGCTAGGAGAACGCCATGAGTCAAAAACAGTAGAAATTGAATACGAAGAAGGCTTTTTTCCTTCATCCCAACCTATGTGGATTGCGATAAACTGCATTACTTTTTTATCCTTGTCCACTGTCGCGATCAAGCCTGTTCCATGCGTTCGAGTGGAACACTTGGATCAATTTTCTGTTGTGGTTGCCGAGCGACTATGTGCAATCTTAAACCTCAAGCAGAACAGCTTGGACCAACAGATAACCTGATCCATCACGTTCCATGGTTAAAAAAAACCTTCTATATTTTTCTTATTTTTCCCTCTCTAAAACAACATCATTGAAGAATTCCTTCACTTGATGCTTGAGCCAAGGTTCAGGCGTCTCCAGCATCTCTTAGGTATTGCTTAAATATTTTAATCAAATCTATTCATAATATGAATGAAATGAAAAGTAAAATGTGCAGTGTGAAAGAGAATTCATTTTTTTCCTGGAAGTGAATTTTATGACACCTTAAAGTATGTCCTATGCCTAAAATTTTGTGAACTTGTAGGCAACCAGAAATGTATAAATATTGCAGTCTAGATACATCTTAAGTATCATAATTATTGCGCTGTTTCATCAGTCAAGTGGGTGTCAAAGTAGGAAACTCCAAGTCCTTCTAATGTAACTGTTTCAGTTGGTCTACCGTTATCTAAGTCCATATTTGTACAGGAATTATTAATATTTTTCTCTTTTTAGCCTCCATTTTGCATCGCTTCCTTTATCTTGGATAGTGGAAGCTGGTAAGAAGATGAGTGTTCTTTAATTATTTTTTTGTTAGGTGCTCTGTCGCAAGATTTCTCAATTAGTAATCCTGTTACAAGTCGTAGCAAAACAAATGAAAGACTTCAATTTCAAAATATTAAAACTTCTGTAATCTGATGTAATTTAATTTTGATCTAATTCTCTTAGTTTCTGCAATTTCATTGCAGAGGAAGGAGAAGATGAAGTGGTCTTAAAGACCTAAGCAATGCTCCCCTTGTTTCGGGGGAATTTTCTAAGTAGCATAAAATTTGGCAACCTCAATTTTCTATCATACTGATCTTCTACAAGAATGTCACATTCAAGAATTCTCTCATCATAGTTAATCTTGCACCCCAAAGAAGAGGTAATAGTTAATGCAGACCAATGTAAGAATCAGAAAAAAAAAAAAAAAACTCATCACCACGGAAAAATCATTCGAGAATGTTCTTGTTTACATATGCACTTAGCCTTACCCTCTAAGTACAATTGATTTTTAAAAAATATATCTTGGCTATAGACTGGAAGGGGTGCAGTAAAAGTCCTGGAACAAGTAAAATGTATCTGCTGAATGGTTTTAATTTTAAAGTTGAGATTTGAGGTACATCCGTTGTGTGAGGAAACTACGTTTTGAGGGGACTACAATTTTTCCCCCGACCTCCCCCTCCCATTTGTAATGTATATATCAAAACGAGAGGAATAAAGCTTCTTGTGCAAACAATGAGTTAAAACTATGAAATTGCTCGTTTACTATTAAAAACCAATGCTGAGTTTTTTTTAGGTTCAACTCCTTAAATCCCTAGACATCAATTTTCATTGAAAAAAAAAGCCAAGGTAAATAACTTCTTGTACGCTGCTGCCGTCATTTTGCAGAAAATTGAGGTATTAACCTGACAATAAATCACATGAAGGATGCTATCTAAAAAAAAATATTAAAAAAACATACCTCTGCCTTTAAGGAAGCAAAAATGTTGGCGCCTCTTAGTAAACTAATTAGCAATTTTTAATTGAAGGATGTACCACTAATCTCATCTCTTCAGCAGCATTTGTCCAAGAGTTATTTTGCTATCAGGTAAATTTGCCACCCTGTGTATGTTATTTTTAAACTCTCTAAGCGCCTTTTTTGACTATTCCAATAATTCACAAGCATTCTTTTTCCCTCCTTTATTCAGATGTTTGACTGCGAAGAAGGTCATAAGAACGTGTTAACACGAAGTATGATTGGAATTGGATTTAGAAGAGGATTGGACTCCGTGTTAACACTGGTAAAGTGTGTTGGAGTGGATTTGGACTCCATTTTAACCCAAATTGGACTCCATTTGATTGGAAAAGGATGTGGAAAAAGGATACAGGAAGGATTTGGACTCAATTTTTACACAAATTGGACTCCATTTGAATGGAAAAGGATATGGATAAAGGAATCAGAAAGGATTTGGACTTCATTTTATTTGGATAAAGGACGTTAAAATGGATACTGACTCCATTATAATCGAAAAAGGATTCAGGAGAGGATCGGGACACTCGCTTTAATTGGGAAAGGATTTTCATGTGGACGCGTACTTCGAGAAGTCGCCACTGTTTTTTCTGAAAATAATTTCTGACTTAACTATTGGATCCACGGATTACCCCTAGGATAAAAGTGAGTCTATTATAAAAACGAAAAAAAAACATGAAAAAAGCTCCAAATTTTTTCTTCTCTTTCAGTAGTCACAAAGAAAATTGGCCTCTAATTCATTCAAATTTCATTTTTCGTAGATTCTGTTGACAAGGAAATTTTACAGTTTTTCAGTCCCACTAATAGAATCTTGCTTTCAAAGGCACTTAAAAAATAGTGCACTGATTGCAATTAATTAAGTAGATTAAGACTGCAATCAAGTCCCTGGTGTCCGAAAGTTACTGCATGAAATATATTTATTATGCAACTTCTAACCATGCGAAATTGCATGGTTTTGCTATTAAATCCAACTTTCTTACACAATTCTTGAAGAATGAGCTCATGTGTTAGCACTGCATGGATACATACATTTTTGACATCACGATACAAAAAATAATTATAAAAAGGAAACAGTTTTTTTAGTGTACTCATTATCAGGTGGAAAAGGAACAGAAGTCTGGTTGCCATTGCTTTGATCAGGGGAAGGGGGGAGGGTATGTCAAAGAAAAATTTGGCTGCAAAATTCTTCTCAGCATTATCCCAGCCCACTAACCCGCTTGGAAACTCCTCTAAAAAATGTGCAAGTGCACACATCTTAGATCTCAAGTGTAGCTTTCAAGTAAGAAAGAACTCGAAAGTGTTCAAAGGTATCAAGAGAAAATTGAAATCATACTTGGAAATTATGTTTTTCTCTTCCCCTTCCCCAGGAACAGGTTTCGTTATTTATGGCCCAAAAAATTTGCCTCAGATCAATTTTTAAAAGCTCTAACAATTCAAATGTCATTCAATTATGCATTCTGTAGTGGCTTCCTCCTGCCCCCTCCATGTGAAAGTGTCAAAATTTTAAACCATTGGTAATTTTAGGTGACAAATGAAACTTTAATCAGTGATGAATGAAGCTTTATCAGAGATTAATGTTGTGGTTTTTTGTCAGTGTGTAAGTCTCTTTTCTGTGTTGGTCATAAGGTCCAGAATGGAGAGAGATAAGCTTCCCAAGCTGTTCAAAAGTGAACTGGAAAGACACCCAAAAAATGAGATAAACCATCTGAAGCTCATTCCCCTACCCATCAGCTATTCCATGTCTCTTGAACTCATTTCTCACGTTGCGTTACATTTCACAATTTGTACAAATAAAATGAGCTATAACCAGATTAATTCTCACGATGAACTTTGATCAGTGTAAGGAATACATTCAGTTATTTCTTGCACCAGTCTTATGCCACCTTCCTTTGTTAGTGTTAAACTGATGCCATTGTTTTCATGTTTCATCAGAGATCATATCCCTGTAACAGTGTAGACATAAAATGTACCCTGATAATTGAATGAAAGTAAAATTGATGTTTGATTTGATCCTGATCTTCTTACATCGGCAGGTATTTTTTTCAAAAACTTGCACTCAAGAATCCGCGACATTAATTTTTTGCAAGCTGAATGAGTGCCTTTTGTTACATTTCTAAGGCATGCTGTACTGAAGTATTTAGTTCAGATTTTTTTGAAAAGTGGGTAAAAATTCTCTATCCTGGTAAGTATATCTGAACATCTGTAGCTCAATTGCAACCCATGGCTGTAGAAAGAAAATATCTTTTCCTCCCTTGGGTAAAAAATCTTCCGACTTAATCAACCCTCTCAATCACTCCATTTCTGTAATTCAATCACACTTTTTTAATAGTTTTTTTTTCATCTTTTAGTGATGCGGATGATGCTGTGCATGCTCGAGATGGATATGACTATGATGGTTACAGACTACGAGTTGAGTTCCCGCGAGGGGGAGGTCCCAACTTCCGAGGAGGCAGAGGAGGTGACCGTGGAGCTAGTTCCAGTGGCCGAGGCGGACGAGGCCCACCAGCCAGACGCTCTCAGTACAGAGTTCTTGTTACAGGTTTGTTAATAAGTCCGTATTAAATGTGAATTATATAAAAAATGTGTCCTATCATGTACATAAATTCTGAGGCACTCAATGTTCTGGGTTGTTCTGAGCGCATCATTGTTTTGAGCTATCTCCTGGTAGCAATGTTCAGCACAAATTATTTACTATGGAGCCCTTTTTTGAATTTTCATCAAAATTTACATGGATTTATTATATAAAAAATTATAGCATTGGCAGGTACCTCTAGGCTTCACTCATGTCATAAAAATTTATTGGGCTCTCCGTCAGTACTTTTAAACAGTGGTGCAGAAAGTGATCCAGTAGGTTGTGGGAGAATGTTAAGGAAAAGCGCTACCTTAAATAAAGAAAACCTTTAAATGCGCTATTTTTTTAAAAGAAAACTGCTTAGCGTTTTCCTATTTGCAAAGGAAACGGTGCAAGGCGCTCTTTTATGCAAAAAAAATTGTGAAACAGGCAGTCTTACAAGGACAATAATGTGAAAGCCGGGTCAAAAAATGTGAAGGGAAAAGAGTCTCAAGTGGGCAGCAATGTAAAGGCAGCCTCAAATGTGAAGACGAAGAACTCTCTGCACTCCACCTCTAAGGCACAGGGAAATGCTCTAGTTTCATAACTTTCCTAACTTTTTTATTTTTTTATCTCTCCGATGTTTTTTAAATATTTGCCGAAAAATTTTGCATGAAGTGTTTCTTTCTTAATAATCTTGATCCATATGATAAAAAAATGTTCTTTTGGGTTCCACCCTTTTTTAAACCACCTTGCCGAAGCCAACGAGTTCATGGAAAATTTCCCAGCATAAAATTATAATTCACATCCAAATATTATTTTCTTTCAGGACTGCCTCCGTCTGGAAGTTGGCAGGACTTGAAGGACCACATGCGAGAAGCCGGTGATGTATGCTTTGCTGACGTCTACAAAGATGGAACAGGTGTTGTTGAGTTTTTGCGACATGACGACATGAAGTATGCGTTCAAAAAATTGGATGATTCTAGATTTAGATCTCATGAAGTAAGTATAAAGATACTTTTTTCACTACCGCTGCACAAAATTTGTAGAAATACAACATTTTTTGATGAGGCTCATTTGCACAAATAATTATTTCCCTGGTCGCATTTCAACTATAATCATGGAGATAATCGTCTTATAGTTTTGATTTAAAAAGTTGGCTGGGGCTGTGCAATGCCATTGTGTCGAGTAAATGTTTTTTACTTAAAATTGTTTTTGAAAGCACCGAACTAGAGTTTGATCAATTATTGTACAAGAACTTTTTAAAAAATCACTTTTAAAAATGCATCGGTTAAAAATTCAGTATATCAGTATAGTGAGTAAAACATTTTAAAAATTAATTTTAAAATTATCAAAATATTGTCTTATTTGTTTTCCATAAAACTGATAAACAATTCTGTTTGTTAAAAAAAAAACATTTAATTTTTAGGGTGAAGTTTCTTATATCCGTGTGAAAGAAGATTACTCTGGTGATGACAAAGATAGTGATGATCGTTACAGCGGCAGATCACGATCACGTAGCTACTCACCACCATCTCGTTACCGCAGTTCACCAACATATTCCCCTGTCCGGCACTCCTACAGTCGAAGTCGCTCTCCATCATGAACCAGAAATAATACATAAGCGTCTGCAATTCAGCAAGAAGGATTGTCTTGCGTTAGATGCTCGATTTTCATTTACCCAGTTTCTTCTTTTTAATTTTTCTACACTTTTTCCTTCTTTTTTATTTTTTTCTTCTTCTTTTTCTTAATTGTAAGCAGAACTAAGTGATGTATCCTACTGTGGTTCCATGAAAATGTACATTTATTACCTCAAAAGTGTAGGTGTATCACTGTCCTACTGGTGTTATTGTTTAAGTGTATTATATTGAAGAAAATTTGAACCTCTCAGTCTTACACTGCGTGTAAAGAGATACCATTAAACCTAGTGTAACATTCTATCAGACAAATATTTTTAATTTTGACTGCAAGGGCAATTATTTATTTATTTATTTTTTTTTTTTTTAATCAAAACAAATGCATAATTGATATCATTTAAGTTAAAGAGACTATGAGAGCTGAACAATGGTGTAATTATCGTTCATTGTGCTCTGATCCATAATTAGTCTTTTTGAAGACAAAGTGTGTCCTCAAATTCATACGGCTAAAAGTCAAAAAGGCTATTGTGTATTCAAGTTAGTTGTTTTATAATGAACCTAGACTTTTTTTTCTCTTTTTAATACTTATTTTTTGAGGCATGAATTGAACCATGGTATTGTTCTCTCACTAAATTAGAAAGAAATTGTCAAGTTCATCTCAATGTGACAAGCATTGTGAGCCTACATAGATCTAATGAGTCTTAACTCATTGTTCCTCTGGAATGACCGGGTTTTTCTTTGCCATTTCTTTGCTTTACTCTGTTATTTCCAGTATCCTCTTTTTTCTTCTTTTTTTGTAAGAGCAAATTATCAGAGTAAGATTCATGATAGGAATGTGTAGAAAGATTAAACAAGTAAGTTTCTGCTGTTTTGTCAGAGGTTTTTAAACACATATTTTAAGATAGCTCTTCAAGAGCTATACTTGATGCTTTAGCTTATGATTAATGTGTACCTTCTGAAAGAATAATGTTTACTTTTAAGTATCTGCTAGTTCTCGGTTAACAGCCACTTAAATGGAGGCCATTTGACTTATCGTCACAATAATTTTTGTACTTTGTAATTGAAAAATCAATAAAATTCTTATGATTTTTAAATCGCACCTGCTGCTTCTTTCATTGGCTCATAGTCCTCAGTCAGTCTACCAGAAAATCAACTTTAATGTCCAACAATCTGAGTAACTTGATGGTTTGAGTACCCGAAAAAAACCAATCTTTTTTCCTTTTTTTCAAAAGGAAGATTTTCTTTCTTTGTCCCAAGAACCAAGATTAGAGGAGACTGAACTGCTGAGCAAAAGCAAATTCGATGAATCTTTGTTTCAACAATTTAGTTTCTTCTGTGAATTTTTTTTACATGTAATGGTAAGCTTTCAACCTCTCATCCCGTTCGATGAAGCTCCTAAAATTTGAGGATAGTTGTATCAGTAGGTTAAGTTCACATTCTGTCTCCATTCAGATCGGTAGGTTAGAAAACATTTTACAAATTAATAGTTCTCTAAGGGAACGTAAGATTATTTTAAAATGGAACCTGCAAGATTGATCTGAATCCTTCCATCATTTTTCCTACACACCATTGATCATGCATGTCAGCAAACAAGTTTTCTCAAGGTGGATCAAACTTATAAATTTTGTGACGAGAGACACGCAAAAATGACTTGCTAACTATCGCTGAATTTTCTTAGGGAAAGATGGCCATGTCAAGAACTGAAATTTCAAAGTTAATGAGAGCTTATGAAAAACCCCAAATATTTATGAAAGCTTAATGACAATTAACGGTCGATGTTCTTAAGGCACCTACTTTACAAACATCTCATCCATTAGAAAATTCACAGTATGAGTGACATCAGGCCCCAAAAAAATTTTTAAACTCAAATTTGATAGCCATATAATTTTCAAATGTAAAATACTACAATTGAAAACTTTTTTATAGTGTTTTAATTTTTTTTTTTTTTTTTTGAGGTAAGTCGAACCAAAAAATTTTCGGTGAAATTCTTCAGGACTCCTCATATTAGATCTTGGAAGGTTTTTCTGCCTCCTCTGATTGTACGAGTGGTTTACTGCTCAGGTCTTGTCATCATTACTCATATGATATCATTATGAAATTCGATGCTGCATAGAGTTGCATGTAAAAAACGTTCATTAATTTTTACTGCCTCAAAACTAACTATCTTTCTCTCCAGTTGTCTCAAAATGTGTGACATATTACAGCAGTATAGGCATGAAATGAAATGAATGAAGGAGGAAACCCTCAGTCCTCATCAGTAGGATAAGAACAGGAAACCGGATACTGATAACGCAAGTGATATCCGGTACTTACTTCGAGAGACTTTTATTTACTTTCACTTTAGGTTTGGCAACACTGGTGCGAACTGCGAGTGAGATATATAGATATATTAGTGCAAGTGCTCATCGAATCATGGCGACGTCGAAAATCCCATGCCTTGCAGGTAAATTTGATGGAATAGAAATTTTTCACTTTTATTTTCGTACCGATTCCAGCCTGAGATGCTGTAAATGATTTGCAGTTAAGAAAGTGTTGCTTTCATCAACGAAATGACCAAATTCGGTGGTCCCCCGCGACTAGCTTTTGCCAACAGATTAGCACCATATGAGTCTCTGCTGCCCTATTTCTGGTCAGAATGTCCAAGTTTGACATCTTCTGGGTGCTTGGTCGCAAGGACTTTACACCGGCTAATTTTGATTCTTCTGAAAGTGGGTTTTATAGCTTGAACGCCGCAGGGCTGTTCCTACACCCTAACCTAACCTCATCAGCAGTACCTCACCCTCCCTCTCTCAGTTAGGGACTAAATTACTCATCATGTCCGTTTATCTTATTCGAATTCTAGGGCTATATTAAGCCAAGAAATCCTTTCATTTCATGAAGCTACACCACAGACCAGTTCATCCTTAGAATTAACCATTGTTGTGAATAATGAATGCGCAGCATATGCCTTTTGAGCGCACTGCTCCATCAGCAGTCGTCCTGCTCTCTTATGTTAGTATGGCTCATTTAACAAGATTTATGAACCATCACTTTAGTTCTTATAGGTTTGTTCTCCTAAGGTACCCATTTTCATATTGCATAAAATTTGTCGAATCGCATCAGCCCGAGGCGAGAAGACTTGATAATTTTGAGTTTTCGTTCGCAAGTTAGTGTTTTATTCATGAGAGGAGCGTTTGATTGTCGCCAGTATTCATAGCTGCCTGATGTCACTTTCAAACCCTCTGTTACTCTCAAAACTCATCTTCTTTCCTTAATTTAATTTCTGTTTTTTTTCTTGCAGTGCGAGGCTCAACTGGTATATCAATCAACCAGGGCCCACCCAACTATGAACTGGTACCTGGATTCTCGAGGGTGGAGAGCAAATCATGCAAGGCCATGTTGTTCAGTCCAGCAGGAAAGTACTTCGCCTGGGTCGGGACCTCAGGGTAAGTTGCTACTAGAAAAGAACCCTGCACTCCAAAGGGGGCTTACTAGCTCTCAGTCTATTTTGATGAAACTTTAACCCATTCGCCTCTTTTGATGAGTATACTCGTCAGCGTGCATGGGGGACATATCTCAGTTGACAAGTTAATTCGCGGCATCTATCGGCGTTGCTATGCAATTTTTTTGGCAGTGTTTTTTCACTTTTCCGATGGATGGCATCTCAAGCGTCGCAACGCTGGGACCAATTAACGCCGATGCGAATTAACTCGTCAGCTGAGATTATCCCCTAGGCGCCCGGTGACAAGGAAACTCTTCACATGAGGCAAATGGGTTAATGGGTTATCCAGATAAGTTCAGCATTAGGGCAAAGCCCAAAAATTTGGTGATCCAGTCTGGTTGAAGCCGAAATTTTCACGATTGAATATGCGTTTTTATGAAGGAGTGGAAAAGCTAAATTAAGAAGGTTGGCAGGAAATAGGAGGATTGAGAATAACGTGCGGTGAAAGGTTTCATTCCCTTTTCATTCCAAGATAAAGAAGCATACCTACAAGTTCTGATTAAAGACTAATCAGAATTGACAGACATGGGGGAAGGAAAGGGTAACAGCCAAGCTCATGAGCACCTAATTGCCCATGAAGCAAGTGGTCTAGGCAAGAAAGCAAAACAAGTAACTTACTCGGTCTTATATATTTTGGTTCGTACTTGATGGAACCACCAAATTTTTTCGCTTTGACCAAATAATGAACTTAATTACATCCTTCTAAGGTTTCATCAAAATGTGCCAAAAGCTGGGTTTTATGTTGTCAGGAAAATCTGGAAATTTAGGGCAACACGGGAAAGTCAGGGTGCATTGCACGCAACACTCAGCAGGATGCAGCATAATTGAATAGAAAAAATCCAAGCGAAAAATTTGTGCAAAGGTTTGGGGAAGACAGGAAATTAATCAATTTTAAAGTCAGGAGCGAGCAAGAAAAGTCAGGGCATCGAATAATGAAGAAATTATGGAAACCCTGGAGAAGTCCATCGAGCCCTCTTTATTATGCAGGGTTCTTTTTACAAAACGCAGACTGCAAAAACTTTTTGACCAGACGCATCACAAAATAGTAAAACATGTTCGTGTTAATGCGGAATCTTGGATAACTTTACGTGAAGAGCCAAAAAAAAAAAAAAATAATAATTTCAGGTATTCTCACTGTTACAGCATTTTTGAAAGTAACTGAAAATGATGTTACTGTACCCATGTATGTAGTAACTCCCTCACACAAGCTTCAGCTTTAAGGTAATGAATTACTATGATTTTAAATGCGCATTTCTCAAATTAATTTTACCAGGAAAAAAAAAGAAAAAAATTGGCAAGTTAATTAAATTTGAATGAAGTCTAGAAACATGTCCCCCCCCCCCCTCAATCAAATCAAACGTCATAATTGATGGGTTTGTTTCATTTTCAGCATTGGTGACCATTCATAGGAAGAAAATTCTGTCAGTTCTGGAATATGTTTTATTTGATTAAATTAATTGGTGGTATGTTGTTATTAGGATCACGATTGTGAACACTGCAACATGGGGAGTTGTTGCAGAGATTCCAAAACCCAAGACGCAGTTCTTTAAGTTTTCGCCCAAGGAAACTTATTTAATGTCATGGGAACCTTTTGCAGGTAAATTTTTAAACTTGACGAATCATTAACTTTCTTCTGGTACATAACCGTTTTCAGTTCATAGAGCGAAGAATTGTAGCTTGTAACCCTCACTTACTTAATTATGAAACCCAGAATCTCGATTTGAGGAAGTAAGGAAGGATATAGCGCTGTCGATTACAGATAGTCCAAGACAAGAGAAACCTGAAAGAATTGGAATAATACACACTATTTGGCAGGATCTGAGTGTCTCACTTCTCATCACCTGACACATCCTAGACTTGTCACGCAGGAGGCTTCAGCCCTCCATACTTGACAAGTGCGAATTGAACTGATTTTTTTCTTGAGGACCCAAGCGCCAAAATTCGATTTTCAAGAAAAACAGAAGAAAGCATGCCTTTTAAGTTGTATTCAATCTTCTGAGCACAGTTTTAGTTGATGTTCTTCAAACCTGTACACTTTTTTGGACTCGGAAGATTGAGCGTATGTTAAATGGCACAGTTTTTCCTGTTTCTCTTGAAACTTAGTATTGGCGCTTGGACTTTAAAGAAAAATATCGGTTCAATTTCCCCAGTGCTAGAACAAAGAACCATTCTACAGGTGAGCGCTGATGTAAGATTGATGTCCAACCCTTTGTGCAGTAAAGGATTGACTTAGTGAGTGTACATGTACCAAGGGTTGGACAGCTATTTCGTCCCCACATAGTGCATACAATTCTGATTTATTAAGGCTCCTATCTCTAACAGACAATAATACCATTCACTGCAAAAGCAGTCGCAATGACCATGTTTTTGTTGATAGTCCTAGGCTGGAGCAGTCATGACCGGAGTTTTGAATGTTGTGTTTTCATTGCATTCCTGTCCGATAGAGGCGCTGTCTGTTGGTCCACGAAGGAACTAATTTTGTACCTAACTGTTAGGAAGCGCTGCCTACGAACGGCAGAAACCGTAGTTTGAAGAATTAGAATCTCCACTTTTTTGCTGGGTTTTCCAGCTCAACAGGAACATCATGGCAAAATAACGTTGGCAGTGCCAGAGTTAGATTTCATTTTACAACATTTAAATCACATCAACTTTTCACTACAAGTCATCTTATCAGCTTAGCTTTATTTCATTTGAGAAATAATTCCTTCCCCTCCTATAAATATAATCTCGCATGAGCTCGTTGACTCTACCAACTCACATGGCTCTTGATTTATTGCAGTGTCAGCAGCAAACCCAGAGGGATCTCCTAACTTAAGTATATGGCGGTCTGAAACTGGAGAACTGGTGAAGGTTTTCGTTCATAAAAAGCATACAGCATGGTGAGTGTTGGCTCCTTTGACTCTAGGTGCTGTAAAATAACAGCATTCAGCAAAATAATGAGTTTAGAAAACAAAAAGCAGGGTGTTGAGCGTCAGGATTTTCCCGATCAGGATTTGAGGTCAATTGAGCTATTGAGCTATTTTTAAGTTACATTCACCGTTCAACTTAATTCTTGAGTTCTGCTTTAAGATGCAGAAATTTTAATTTTTTCTGCAAAAAATCAGGATTTCCCAAAATGAAAAAAACTAGACACCCTGGGGAGGAAAGAAAGGCGTGAAAAAGCTTTAAATCCATCATATCAATTTATAGGCACATATGTCAACGTCCAGGAGTGCCCCATGAATCTGCTATGCAAAGCAGTCAGTCCATGCGTTGAAGAGTCTATATTTTGTTACAATATGCGTTTTCTGAACCCTTGTATCTACACCTCTCCTTTAGAAATGTGTTGCTAGGTATAATCAACATTTGTTGCCACATACTAACCTCCAAGTATTTTATCTGTGCACTCAGGAATAAAATTGAACCTGTCTCTACGTTGCAATAAACGTCTCATTTCAAACCTAATTTTTGTAAGGTATTCGTATGCCTTTTTTAATCTTTTCTCGGAATCAGCAGACTCTTTCAAGATTCCAAACAGTTAAGTATTTTAAGACTTCTTGGTTTTAAAAAATTTTCAGGGATCCGCAGTGGAGTTCTGATGAGCACTTGTGCGCAAGACTGATTAACGGTGCTGAGCTGGCCGTTTATGAAGACTCTAATTTTGATGAGATCAAAGTGAAATCAAAATCTCTTAAAGTAGCTAATTTTGCACTATCTCCAGGGAAAGCACCTCATCACTTTGTTTTTTATTTACCAGGTAACTCATTTCAAACTTCAATCAACAGGTTTCTTCAAGAAAGTAAACTATGTATGTCGCGTGAGTTATGCCTCTTGAATGTAAATCAAGCAATCTGATAATGATAAATAACCTGGCGTACTTAATTAAAGTTAAGAGATTTAAAGAGAAATGTAATCTAAACTTTTACTCATCTTCTGTAAGAACAAGATGATTTAGCCGCGCAGAAAGTTGCTGCTAAGTTTGCAGGATACGACAGTGGATCTGCCACAAGTTTGCAATCTATTTGTTCAGCCAAATTTTAAATTTTTTCATCTACCTATTTAGTTAAACTATGCCATCCCTCCATTCTTCTTTTTGAGCTGAGGTTACGATTTCTGATGATCTGCCATTGATTTCTTCACCCAATGTATGACTTGCCATCATGGAAAATGTTTGTGTTGACTCTCATATTTTTACCCTATCCCATCTCATTGGAACAATTCCGTTTTCATCCTCATTTTTGTTTCTTATTGGGTTTCAGCACCGGCAGGTCAACCTTCTGTTTGTCGTTTATACCAATATCCCAATTTTGATTTAAGTGGATCTTTGGCACAAAAAACGTTTTTCCAAGTAAGTATATTATCAAACATTGCTGTGATGAAACTGCCGTAGTGTTGTTTGGGGCAGTTCATAAAATATATAACACTCCGGAGAGCGGTGGGCCGAAGGGAGTGTCAAGCCATTTTGGTTTTACAGGTTAAAGAATAGGGACTTATGTCACCAAAGTGATACAAGGGGAGGGGGTTCAAAAAATAAAAAAATTAGTATTGCATATGTTATGAACATCTCCTTTGCTACAAATAAAGAACAGTGCATGTTTGAATAGAAACTCAAAGTAAGGAATTAGTTGAATAGCTTGGCAGAAATTACAGAACTCTCATTGGAGGTGTTAGAATGCCATAAATTTGACTTATCAAGAATATCTGTGTGGTCCTTCTTGACTTACTGATGCAGCTGTTCAAATCTATAAGATACCTAAGTGTCAGTTGAGCTTGCATCAAAAATAGGCAAGGGTTTTTAAGCATTCAAAATTCTAAATTGAGCCTTGTTTTTTTTTGTTAACGTCATAAGAGGTCAGGCCTCAATTTTGAAAAAGTGAAAGAAAAAAAATTCTGCTTTTATGTAAAAGATTCAAGGAGTTTCACTATCTTTGGAACTGTGACGAATGAAAGAAATTTTTAACTACGGAACAACGTAATGGTAACATTTTAACTGTATTTTAATATTTTAACTGATGGTGATTTTCTTTCCAGGCTGATAAAGTAGATTTTTTCTGGAATTCCACCGGTAAAGAAGTCCTGATCCTCACTTCCACAGAAGTAGACAAAACTGGTGCTTCGTATTATGGGAAGCAGGGCCTGTTCCTATTGAGCATCAAAGGAGATAGTGCGATGGTGTTAACAAGTAAGCTTCAAACCTAATTCATTTTGACAGCTGACTGGTGAGGTATCATGTTTTTAAGAATTAAAAGTTATCCACATACTCTCAAATGGGTCACACTGAAGGAGAAACGGAAAAATGACTTTTCTTCATCGGGCAGAGTTCCGAATGGAGAGAAAATAAAATGTAAGCTACGCAGAACGAAAAATTTAAAAGTAAACTTTGAATTTCAAATCTGGTTCAAAAAGTCAAAGCTACTTATACACAATTGAATTAATCATTCTCCAAAAGACTTAAGCACCAAAGAATCGGAAATTGAGTTTTTGGTGTTTCCGTATTGCTTGGGCTTACTTAGATAAATCTTGTAAACCAATTACAAGATGCTGATTTGTATGATCGAAAAAACATCGAAAAAGTCCAGGCAGTCTCAAGTGCCAAAGCAATGTATCGCACTCACTTATCTTGATTTCATCAGATTTGAATCCCTCAGGCAGTTATCTTGAATGGCGAAAAGAGGGTGTTTTTCTCTTTTCATTTAGGATTAGTTTGAAAGTCAGGGTCCTCAAGAACTTGTGCCTGCTTAGATCTGGCAGAAATCAAATCCTCCTCCCCCTCCCCCCTCAAATTTTGTTTTGCTATAAATACTTTGGTTTTAACAATTACCCAGGAAAGAATCAACAAAATCTGTCAACGGAAGATTAAAATGATGCACCTGAAAAATTGCTCCTTCTCTTGTAACAATTAACTTAAAGTAAGCAGCACAGTTAACATTCTTTTCTTGATTACAGATGCTACCGGACCAGTTTACAGTGTTGCCTGGAATCCTCTCGGCCATGAATTTTGTGTCATCTATGGGTTAATGCCTTCCAAGGCAACTATGTTCAACACCAAGGCTGAACCTGTCTTCGAGTTTGGTGAATCACCAAGGAATGCGGTTCATTTTAATCCACTCGGAAATAATATCCTTTTCAATCAATTTTGGTCACTACGTGTTTTTTCTCAGCCTGCAGTCTCCCAACGCACCTCCTCTCACATTACCTCTGTACCGATTGTTGTCCAGAGCAAAGTTCCTCGAATCTTATCCTGCTATAATTAAAGGGGCAACCAACTACACAGTGGAAGAACGTAGGGTTTTAATTAATTTAAGCTTGATTTTGGATAAAAAAATACAGATGATGATGCTCGATGAAAGTACAAAAGGGCTGGACATCCTAATCAAACAGTAAAGTATGACAAATTTCCCAAAGCATGGGTTTGACAAGGCTGAAATTGCGGAAATGAATACAATTTGGATGTTTTTGGTCAGTCACATGACCATTCTCTGCCGTGACGAAAGTTGAAGTAAATTAATTAAAGTAAGAAAATTAGCATGACAGTGACTAAAAAGAATTAGTGAGTTAGCACTAATTACACTTTAGAAGTGGAGGGGTTCAATACTAGGCTTTCAGCCCCTTATGCCACATAATCATTTATCCTAAAATTTGAAAAAAAAAAAAAAAAAAAAAAATGTATCCAGGCAAATTAAGGAAGAAGCAATGTTTGTGCAAAAATTTTGTGTTTAGACTTTAAGCTCAATGCATCCTCGCAGTCCATATCAAAGTGAGAAACCACGTATCTCTATTGCGATGTTAAAATATTTCTACTCCTATGTATTTTATCTCTTTGGAGAGATCAAAACCAACTTTATGTAGTGAACTTTATTCAGAATGTTCTACTAATAGAACAGAAAACTCAAGGAAATTTCCCAGAAAATACGGTGATTTGTCTTTCCAAGAAAAAGGAAATATGGCAGGAAGGCTGCAACACCGCAGACAGAGATACATGGTCTCGCACTTAGTGCGAACTTTGATGTATACTGTGATGATGATAGCTGTTTCACTAACAAATTTCTATGAACTCAATGCTGTTTAGACAGCACTCTCTCAATTCACCGAAAGGAAACTTTCTCACGAAACTTCCGACAATAATTTTTATTCAATCTAAAATAATTACTCAATTTTGAATGAACATTTGTTTAAGTGTTTCTCCTTGACTTCTGTGTACTAGTTTTATTAGGAGGTTTTGGAAATCTGCCGGGGATGGTGGAAACTTGGGATGTCAAGAGTCACAAACTGATAGCAAAGTCTGATGCACCAGATACCACTTTACTGCATTGGTCACCAGATGGAGTTCACTATATGACAGCCACCACTGCACCTAGACTCCGAGTAAACAATGGGTACGCTTTCTTAACAAAAAATCAACTCAAATATTACAATTGAGGACACCGCACCAAGAACAGCCTATAGGCGTATAGGTCATTATTTCGCCCATCTGCTTTTCGGATTCTACGTACCCTGGACCATGCTGTGGTAGCGATAGAATATAGATAGGTAACGGCTCGAGGTCGAAAAACCTTTTTTTCCCGAGCTAAGTCAGGCCTCTGGATCGATGGGTGCAAGAACGACCTATACGCTCGGCCTTATCATTCTCGGTTCGCAGGCATCGGCGCGGCGATAGTGATGGCTCGATTTTTTTATCTCATTTTATAAAGGTTTGTTTTTATTTCAGAAGAACGAGCTATTGAAATAATGTATTCTCCTCTCAAACTATCCATTCCTCCAAAAATGTGTACTTCGCATATTGCCACCAAAATGACTGTTGGGCGTAATAGGGGCCTATAAACTTAAGGGCCTATAAGGTGCTAGTTACCCCTTTCTTTACTCACTATCGATATTCTTTCATTTTGCGTTAATCATGCGTGATTAAAATTATTTATACTTCATATTGCCACCAAAATGACTGTTGAATGTAATAATGGCCTATAAACCGCTTTTTTAAATTAATTGTAAATATATTAGAGTGTCAACCCAAAATGTATCGCAAAATCTACCCGGTATCCTTCAATAGAAGGGTTCGGTCACCCAAAAACACCAAAACAGGGTACCTGCATAGAAAAGTCTGCGCAGTACATCAAAAACTAAACTTTAAATGCGTTTTTCTCAAAACCGGGTTTCCAGTTATAGGCTGTTCTTGGTGGGGTGTCCTCAATTCATGGCAAGAATGTTGTAACCTTATCTAGGGTTTTAATTCTTGACAAAATGTTGCATTAGGAGAAAACCAGTTTTTATGCAGCCTTCTTATTTTTTCAATGACCTCAAACTCTCTGCTCATAATCGCATATGACTTCTACGATTATCTAATTGTAATGGAAGTAATTTGACAACTTCTGGTAGGAATTTTAACGCAATGCCCGTCTTCTTTTAAACATCATTTTCTATAATTCCTCATCCTAAAAATTGTGACATGAAAAAACCTAGAGGCTTGCTGTGATTTACACTGTTTTCTGAGTGTATATAAGTAAACCATCTGGGGAACTGATACAAATTTTCCTCATGTACGATTACAATTGAGGCACTGGATTCAAAAAGGGCACTTCTCGGTTGCAGTGTTTCAGAGTCCCCTCTAATATGTCATTCATTGTAAGGAAAGTGAATGCATCCATTCACTAAAAATTTTACTGAATATTCCTTATGATTCTAAAATTTTCTATGGAAAGAATGCTGGAAAAATCACACATTAAATTCCTCTTCAAGGGATTAATTAGCAACAGCGATTCTGAAACACCGCAATCGAGAAGTGACCTTTTCCCATCCAGTGCCTCAATTTATTTAAGGCCTTTATTTTGGCAAAACCATAAAATGAGGAGAAATCAAATGCTTAAAAACGATTGAAATCCAATGTCGGGATTAGCTTCCCAGATTGCCTGTTTATTAGGGTTTGGTTTTCTTACGTCTCTTCCTGGGCAAACCTGGTAATAGGTGACAAAGTAAAATTGCTTGGGTCACAGGAATTACTGTGAAGCGTGTCATTAAGTGTGCATTGAAAAGTGAATTTCAGACTTTTTTGATGTTTTAGGAAGTCTATTCACTTCCTTTTTATGTGTATCAGACACATGTCAAGCAAAACCAAAGTAAGAAGTATATGTAAATATTTTCTGAATCCCCATTTTTTCAGTAACTGAATCAAAGCTAAGACTATTGACATAACGTAGAAAGAGCTCTTTCATTAATGGAAATAATTTAATCATCATGTTTATCGTTCATCCAGCTTATTTTAAATGACATTTTTGTGGTTTGCTCTGACAGTTTTAGGATATGGCATTATAGCGGTGCTCTTCTGTATGAACGTCCTTGGAATAAACAAGAAGAATTATGGGATGTCCAGTGGCAATCTTTCCCAGTAGGAACATTTAAAACAGCCCCTGTTAGTTATAAAGCTGTTGAAGGCATCAAATCAAGTCAACCTACTGGTAATTTTCTTTGGTTCCTCAGAATCTATTCAACAATGAGAGAAATTCAATTTGTAAGAGAAATCAGAGAAGAAATCATCGTTTTAACATTATTATCCTATTTTTTTTTTTCAAACTCTCTCGATTTTCTGACATATTTTCTCATTTTTTTTTTTTAAACTCCCAAATCTTCTCAATCTCCTATCTCCAGAAAAATGTGGGAATTTTTTAAATGTCTGAAAAGCGGCTGTCTCTAAATTACGTAAAGCCTTTGCAGTTTTTTGACCCCCCCCCCCCCCCCCAGGGTAAAGCTTCTTAACGCTGTGCTAGACGCCCCTCCCCCTCTCCTAAGAAATTACATAATGCTTGCCCGGACTCCATTTCATAAAAGAATAATCGAAATATCACCTTACATTTACTGAATGGATTGGCGATTCTATTTAGTGAGGAAAAGTGAAAGTATAGCAGAGAATACTTTCGAGATTCTCTAAAACTTTCAAAAACGGCTAACTTATTTTGTTGCGAAGCTTCCTGGAATCACATGTTTAGATAAGTTACAAACTACTTGGTTGTTTGTATTTGCTACCTTATTCAAATTTAGAAACAAAGAGTATATTTTCTTGTGAAAGGTCACTTAATACTAATAAAAAAAAAGAAGCTTCCTGGAATCTTCTCAGGAAAATTTCCTCAAAATTTTTCAAGCCTAACAATTTCCTGTACCTTAAAGAATGTTTCAATATTCCAATTGTATCAGATTTCTAGCACTGAGCCAAGAGGTGAATCAGTCGTAATATTTGTGTAGAGAATCTTCATTTCTTGTCCAAAGTTTTTCCTGGGAGCTTTCAGTTTACCGGGAGTCCATATTTTCAAACAGTTTTTCAAACAATTAATATGAAATGACTGGTATATTGATGACTTTTTCCCATTAATTTCAGCCTCTAAACAAGTGTATGTACCCCCATCAGCCAGAAATAGAGCTGCCGATGGTGCTAAAATTGGATTCGGAGCAGTCAAAAGTGTAGAGCCTAGTGGTGAGTCATTTCTAAACACTCTCACCTTTTTTCTGATTTGCCCACTCACATTCTTTCAGAAGTTAGATGGCAATTTAGCATTTTTTTAGCCAGAAATTTTTCTCAGTCAAACTTTAATAGCTCAACCGTGAAAGGAAACAAAAAGAAAATTTTAGTTATGTAGGATTTCAGCTTATTGAGGTTTTGAGTTTTGAAGGTCCGGATGAGGGAAACCTAAACTTTTTACAGTTATTGAGGAATCAAAATGAATTATGACGAAACATTTATAGTAGAAACTTGACCAGTCGATGAGTATGCAAAATTAAAAGTTTATAAGGTGAAAACCTTCAAGGTCCTGGTTTGGAACCATTATTAAACAAGAATTGGGCATCTCGTCCAGGTATCAAAGTTTTGGAGTTCTCGAGCTTTAAGTAAAGTGATTTGAATCAGTCATCTCGTTCTCTCGTTTTTTCTTTTTGCCTTTTATTATTTATTTATTTGTATTCACTCATGTTTTCACAGCAAGTGCAATTAAAAATAAAAAGAAGAAGGAATCCAAGAAAAATGCCAAACAACGCCAGTTAGAGCAACAAACTGTTGAAATCAGCACGCCTTTAACACCTGCCAACAAATCGAACAAGAAACCTGCGGCTGCCACCGCACTCTCAACTTCTAATAGCCATGCCAGCAATGGGAATCATGATGCTTACATCACTGACTCTGATGATCCGGAAAAAGTCAAGAAAATCAAGAAAGTCAAAAACGTAAGTTAAGTCGTATTTTGTTTGAAACAACAAATTGTTTCTTTTTTTTCTTGTTTCTCTTGCGTGATTCTGAACAGGAAAGTGATTCGGAAGTGAGTGAGGTTAAAATTCTGGATGGCTTGAAATGTTTAGCCAAAAGGCACTTTCTGCACCCATGTGGAGCAAACGTAAGGTAAATCTTGAGCAAGAAAGCAATTCTCAAAAACGATAACCTGCTCTTTTCCGTTTCTCACAATTTTAAAAAAGTTAGGCAAAATGCACACTTAACTGTGAAATTGGACATTTTATTTTTCAATTGGCCATTTTCCTTCAGAAAAATTTGAGAGACCGCAAGAGCATGGGAGTTTGTCTGTGAGGCATAAAGGCTAGAACATGAGAAGCGACATTTTGAAATTTTGTGCACCTTCACCCTATTAGGTAGATCCATATCCAGTAAATAAACATTCAAAAGATTGATTGGATATTCTTTTGATGAACAATATTTCACCGATCAAAGCAAATGGCAAAGGACCATGCACACTACCCAAAATTCGGCCCTGGCTAAATTTTAATACTAATCTGTAGAATGTTCTTCACAACCTTTTGAGCTCAATTAGCTTTTACAATCAAACACTCTGTGTCTCAATCTTGAGGAATACAGGGCTGAAAAGTAAATTATCAGCCTTTTTTTACACATATCTATTACAGATTTGCGGCTGTGACTATGTCTGTGTGGATACTGCACTGCGGACATTATCATTTGTAGGAATTTGGTTCTTTTTGTCCCTTTTATCCGCTACTTTTGCAAGAAAACAAAAGCTCTCTTTGAGCACCAACAAGGTGTTTGGAGATTTTAAAAGTACTGAAAGAAGCCCTGTTTTTCTTGAGATTTACTCATTGAAAGTTTGATTTTTGGAGCTCATTGTGCACAGGAAACTATAAGGAACATCAAATAAAATAATATCCAAAGTTAACCGGTGCCAAATTTCTTGGTTTTTGTGTGGATGGGTCTCTCACAGAAATCAGGATTAATGATCCGCTTATTCTCGAAAGTATTTTTTTTTCTCATTTTAATTGATAAAAATTATAGACATACTTAGTTTTATTCTTTCCAAAAAAAAATCAGTACATACCAGTCATGATCAGTCTTCGAATCTAAAACCTTCTTTTGTTAATAATATTCTCTCTCTCTGCTACTTTGCTCTTGATCATGGTGATTCAAACTTCTCTGGCAGCGTTGATTTAAAAAAATGTGTCACAACTAATGATGCATCCATGCAGTGGAATAATTAAACCTGTTTCCTTTGTTTCAGAAATTGGGCCAAATCACGAAACTGAAAGAACTGCAATCAGAGGGCCAGCTTATGAACCCCAACCAATTAGACAAAATCAACAAAGAAAATGATCTCATCAAAGAACTGGAAAATTTAGTTGCATCGTGATGAACTAACCCAATCAGGTTCGTTCCAATCCGCCCGAGCCTGGTTGCCTGGTTGTCCCCAAGAACGGATAACGAGAACGCCAGATTTTACAAATCAGCCAGACAGCCTTGCTCATCCAGTCAAAAGTGCTCCTTGTTTAAGTGTGAAATAGTGTCAAAAGTGTGTTCTGCAGAGAAAGCAATTGTTTGTGTGTGGTTATTGCGCAACCAGCGTTCCATGTCCCCTGTATTACCTCCCTGTATGGCTATGTGTGTGCGCCTGTGATAATGATTACGAATTCTGCGGAAATTAAAATTGCGAATGTGTGTTTGTCACCAGAGAAACCTCAAGTGATCCCTCACATCATAGCTTGCAGCATTTGCTCATTCTTAAATGTAAAAGAAACTATAGCCTCCTCCTCCCCCTTCCCCTGCAAATTGGCTTTGTTGAACGTGGACCGAGATTGATTCTTAGTATGTCCATAGATGTAATTTTAAGTTGATATCCCATTAGAACTTGAATTAATTTTCATTCTAATTGTAATAAATCCTTTTTTTTGTATTTTTCATGTACATCTTTGCTGCCTATACTCTCGCACATAATTTTCAAGAAGGCCGCATAATGCCAAATTGGCATCATTGAAAATGACAGTAAAATAGCTTTGCATACCTGCGATGAAGTAGTCAGCAAATTGAGAGTTTAGTCATAGAATAAATAGACTACGTCAACAGAAGTGAAAGCCACCGCCATTTTTATGTCATCGAAGCGAAACTGAGTCAATAAGCACCGTTCACGTCTGCGGCATGTTGACGTTCTGGAGAGGCCAATTGATAACAGATACTGACGGTTTTAGGAATTAGAGGAGATTTTTTTACACTTGTTGACTGTTATTCTGGAGAAGTATTGTAGAGTTGCTTAAAATTATATGTTTCTTTCCAACTGTATAATTTTAGGTCAACCTCAAATCAGGTTTCAGTAAGTTCGAAGATTGACCAAGCCCGAGAAGAATAATGTTAACGTAGGTTCTTACGGAGCTTTCGCTTCTGTTGGCGTAGTCTATTTATTCTATGATTTAATAGCTGAGTTGTATCAACGACTACTCTTGTCAAAACTTAACCTAAAACTGTGATTTATTTGCATCTGTTCAAAACAGTGGGTGTCTAAATACCTCCCTTTTCAGTATGATATGTCAGCTGTCATGCCAGTTTTAATAGCTCACCAAATTTTCTTTCTCTTTTTTTTTTATTATTGAGTACCAAGAAAATGTAATGGTTTTACTGCTTAAGCACAAACACAAGACTAATAGCAGTAGCACATTCTTGGAATACAGAATTAGCCCCCATTATTTCTAAGTAATTTCAGTTGGTAGGACGATTTTTCATTATATAATCTTTGTGGAGGCATTAAGTCTAGCCTGGCAGTTGACATGTTAGTAGGATCCCAAGAAAAGGAAATCGGAGACTAAATGGTTACACTACCTGCAAAGAAGAAATACGAAGACCTCAATTTATTTGATCGCCATTTAATGGATCGATCTTCCAGTCCCTTCTAGGGCTTCAAGCTAACTCAAATTAACAGATTCCGTAATGTAACAGATTGATTCGTCAGTCCTGTGAAATCTGATAAATCTATGTCTTGCTGTAGTTTGCTTCTTATTTTATGTTCGGTGTTGAGACGGAAGTTTGCTCGGGGGATACTGTTGCAAAATTTTTGGAAAAAAAAAAGAATCACTGTTAATGTGTACAGTTTGAAAGGCATGTTTTCAAATTTGAGTGAGTGCATTTATTTAAATTTTGACTGTGTTATTAAGGAATAAATATTAATTCGCAAGTGAACGATTCATTTTACCGCCACCATAATATTCTTATTTTTAACTGTATGATGAACAGTATCGTGCAAACTATCTGTTATTCAGACTTTATTTTTTTATTTTTATGATTCATGGTTTTTTAATGGAAGAAAACTTATCAAATGCATGATCCTATTTAAAATATGTGCTAAATTCACTTATGTATATCAGACTTACAGAGTCGATGTTAGGGGTATATTTGCACCCATGTCAGAGGTCTCTTCACGCCTGTTTGATCATGAGAGCCTAGTCTCTTCGCGCATCTAATTCTCTATTCTGATTTTGTCAATTTTGTAAGGTGCCCTGTAAAATCTTTTTCTTTTAGAATCTTAATTTGTGTACTTTTATATATTTGTGTTTTTCTCATGTTTTCTGGAGAATCTTAAAGTTAATAGCTGTTCAGACAGCTTATTGTTAATTTTTTGCTATCTCTCTACTCCTGAACATGATGGTTGAATTCAGTTGAAATTTAAGTTTACTTTCTCCTGACACTGTTAAAAATAGTTATCGGTTTGAGATTTTGAAATAAATGGAGACATACTAAGAGTTTTTGTTGTGCAACAAACTGACTGAGAAGCGAAGGAAAATTGGAAACAGTTGAACTTGAAAAATGTAGAATCATGACTTCAGAAGTGCTGCTGCTATAGCTGGAAAATACCTCCAGTGAGATGAACTTATTCACTTTTCTTGACGTCAGACCGAGATTAACAGTTCTTTACAAATGGTGCTTTCTCTTCATTTTTCATGTAGCAGCATATGAGCCGTTGTTTGATATTCTCGATGAGAGGATTTTGACTCGGAACGCTTATTTCGAACAGATACTAGGTATCAACAGTGGAACTACAAAATTGCCTTGGTTTGTGGCATCCCAGATTTATGGCTCATTCCTTTCTCTTTATCTCTTTCTTTGCTCGAAATTCTGTGTGATTTTTCTTTACCCTCACTAAAATATGCTCCGAAAATTTCCAAGAAAATGATTCCTGAAAAGCAGAAGGAGAGGTGACATTTTTAAAACACTATAATCGGAGTACATATTTTTATTCATAATATTTGTGTTTTATTGTAGTTCATGGTCGACATTTTCAAGAGAATAGGAGTCAAATTCTTTTTTCAAAGTAATGTTTAAGTACATATCGACGGTGCAAGTCGGCAATCACATAACTCGTTTGCGGTGTCTGAAAATCTCCGCAACTATGCTATTTTTTAAAGGAGAACAAATGGACATGATTCCTTGAAGTTTTTGCAGAATTTTCCTCGCACATAGAAGAAAAATCACGGCAGTTTTAAAGAATTACCGTTGAGTAGTTTTCCGTTTAAAAAATAAAGTATGACAGGAAGTCTGCGACGTCGCAAACCGAGTTATGTGATTGCCGACTTTCACCGTCGATATGCTCATGATATGTTTCACAATCAGCGGATATTTAATGGTGATTAAAAGCTCAATCAGATTATTTCCTGATTTTCGATAAGAAAGGGGGCCACCGTTCATCAATTACTTAACGCTATTTTTGGGATTTTCTAACCCCACCCCCCCCCCCCCCCCCTCTTATCGTTTTTGTGATGCAGGCCCCTATCCTTTAACACTCAAAATCTAAATGTACGCTCTTCGAGGCCTCCCTCCCTCTTAGAGTGTTACGCACTTCATCAATGGCTCTAAGGCTTTATTTTCTCAAGGAAGTTTTTTTAATCTATTTTTTTTAAATATTTCTCACCAGTCATTACCATTATCTGACAGATTTTCATAAAGTCATCATCAATTAGGTTATTGATGTTATCAATCAAACTGATTGTACAGTTGCTTAGAGTCAAAGTACGAGTAATAATGTTGAAGTTACAAGTTTTTGTGTCGGTGAAATTGTATTTCCAGTAAATGAATTGTACAGTCAGTCCTTTGTGTAATATCAGTAATTTTTGTGCCCCGACCAGGATAAGATCAAAATGTACAAAGTGTCTGTCCGTAGCAAATTTTATCGCACTGTATGCTATAAATAACCATCAATTTAGGGAGTCTACAAATATGTCAGGCCAAAATATTAGTGGAGCATGACGTTTGTGATACTGACACCATAAGAACATTACCCTTTGAAAAACGTCCCCTTTTCACATCTCTGTAAAATGATCTTGTATGTATCTAATGTTTTTTTTTCTATTGGGAACCTATTTTTGTAAATTACTTTTTCATATCCCCATCCTAAGTAGGGAATCAGATTCTCAATTTCTTACTCTGTTAAGTATATGTCTTTCGTTCATTTTGCAAGTCAACTTGAACGAATGTGTGTATAATCTTTTCAACAAGCAGCTAACAGTATGCACTTGTTGTCAAATTTTCCCCACTTAATGTTTGGAGGTGTTCCTGTTAATATTTCTTTATATTTGTAACATGAATTGTCAAGAAAGTGGAACTTGCAAATTTGTATCAATGTCGATTTCTGGGATAAGGTATGCCATCTCTCATTCACATACTAAGGCCCAAATCTAGCATGTTGCAGCTCTCCCAGCCCCTTTCAAATCTTGGCTGCACAACCTAACAATCAGCAAAATTAAGAAATGTCTATGGACTGATTGAGGCATCCATAGTTCACACAAAGGGAAAGAAAAAATTTGGGCGCAGATCGATATTTCGGTGGAAATATTTATCATTTTCTGTTATGTACGTTATTACTTGTGAAGCAGTAATAACCCAGAGTGTTTTTATAGGCTAATCTCATGTAAAACGTATAATAACATGAAACTTTCCGAAATTCATGCCCTGCCATGAGGTAATCAGAAAAATTGCTGGGTAGAGTTTGTTATCCTCATATTATGTCAAGATTAGGGAAAGTGTCACAGGAGTTCTAAATTATCATAAAACCCAGACATCCTCTATTTTATATTCTTGAAGAGATAGCTCTATTTAAACTTATTGTTAGTTTAAATGCATGTTTTGGTTATGAACATTAACTACTAATGGAAGAGAATGCGACTGCCCAAGTTCAATCTTTAACTGATGAACGTCTCCTTATCCCAGATTTCATCATATTTATAATTTATAGTTACGATTACTTCTATGTTTTGATTGATAAGATTGTGACAAGCTGGACTTTTTTGATAACCATAAGTTAAGTTGTTAAACTTAACCGTGTATAAAAATGTTTTATTAGAAGTTAAATTACCCAAGTGTTTGTTATTGCCTTTGTCTCTCATTTTATTTTTATTTTTATTTTTTTAATTATGTTCCTTCATGCCAGAATGTCTTCTTATAGAGCATGAAAGAAAAGCTTGTTATCAGATGAGCTGGACAATTTGGTGGTACCATGTAATTTAGTATATCTTCAGAGCCAGTTTACAGCTGCTGGAATCTGTCAACATTTTCAAACCCCCTCCTCCTCCTCCCCCCCCCCCCCCCNTGAGAACTCTAAAAAGGGGCCACAAGGTCCAACATTATTCTTAAACAACCCTTAATCTTTCAAGATTTTTGAAAGTGGAATGACCCTACAAAAAATATTTTCGAAGCTGCTTGTTTGACTAGCCCTCTATAAATGAAAATTTGCACTGCTTAAAACAGATGATTTCCACAGAAGTCCAAAAATATACTCTAGAGTGATGTTAAAACTTATTATCTCCATGAATACAGAATCTGCAGAATGAATGCTACAATTCATCACTCTGTCACTTGAAACAAAAATCAATATCTGAGCCATGGAAAGTGGTTTTTTTTTTTTTTTTTTTTCCCCCAAAAATCGAAAAATTCATTCTGCTTTAACGTCTTGAATGTTTATTTTGCTGTGCCAGAAAATCACAATATTCTGGATAATTTTAATTTAGGGGTCTCTCCTCAAGTTCAATTTATATTGAAGTGGAAAATTAGTTTGTGTCAGTTCAATATTTTAAGTAAGTTGAAAGTAAAGAGACAAGAAATGGACTCAGTGTAACAGAAATGCACTACCTACGTCACATTTGAAAGGAAAAAAAAAGAAAAAAAAGTCACGGGTTTTAATTCAACAGTCGTAAATTTTCTCCTGAATGTCGAAAGTTCTAATTAGATTCGAATTTGAGAATTGTCATCTGGTTAAACTTTGTCCTTAATATTGATTCTTATGGAGGTGTAAAACGCCCGACCTCCTCTTCTCGATTCAAACTTGATGCAACACATTGAACCTGGTCCAAATAATCTGATCAGTATCATCTCATAAGAGTGGCATCATACAGATGAGAAAAGGAAGGAAAACATGGAAGTTTGCAGTTCCACCATAGGGCAATGAAAGATGGAATTTCATGGAGGTACAAATGTTCTCCAAAGTAAGTCGTTCTGCCCTGAGACAGAGAGAGAGAGACCAGTGTCTTCATTAAAATCCACTAAATGAGGGGTTTGCATCCATATGTATTTGAATTCTGTCAATCAGAAAGAGAATGGATTTTATTTTTATCTATTGATGATTAGCCATCTGTTTCTGTGTTGGAAGAGGCTTTCACTATCACTGAACTGCACATCTGTGAACTTTATAGTGATTTTGACCAAGCATCCTGTAAAATATTGACAGTAAAAACTGTCCTGTGGATTACTTTGAAATTATAATTTTGCCTCAGCAAACCAGATATCTCTAGAGTTATTTGTATCTTTTTTCTATTCATCATTTTCTTTTTTTATAAATTATATATGAGAACATAGCTGCGAACCCAAAACGGCCCTCTCAAATCATTTAAGTTTTAATTTCGCCCATAACAAACTCTAAATCCAACCCCTGTCAACCTCCCTCAGACAGTTAGATTTATTTTTTACTTCTATTTGGAGGACTTTTTACAGAATACCAAAACGGTTTGGGTATGCATTCGGTAATGATGAAGCATTCTAGATGAGCATGTACAGCAAATCTTTAAATTTTCCATATAATCAGTAAAAAAGGAAAAAAAAGCAACCATTACTGTTCTAATAAACCCATGTCGAAACGTGTGTTCTGGCTATTCAATTTTTTTCTGATGCGTTCATTATGATTTTAAACTCGTATACATCATCATTATAACTTCATCATGAGGGAGCACAAAAATCGTGACACCAGTTTGTTCAGTTTCAAGTGTCAATTAATTTTTGAAAATAATTAAACTCTTGAATACTAATCAATTTTAACTATTTTCTGTATGTATTATACATATTGGTTAAATATCTTAGAAGAAAAAACGAAAATAGCAACAACAAACAAACAAACTTGCAATAAATATGTTGTTACTGTTGAATGATAATTTTGAATTTCTCTCCAGAAGTTTTACCCCAGGTCTAAAGTCATATCATTCATATCATTGACTCAAAGCATCTTGACTTTTTTCTCTTGATGGACTTTCTTGACTTACAATTTTGAAGGGTGTATGAAATGTAATGTAAAATTCTAAGAATAAAAATTCTCAGAAACTTGTTTTTTAGTTCCAGTTTAAAATATCCTATGATTTCTAACACCGGCTGAATAATGAGAGGGAAGTTTAAGTACATATCTGGAGATGCTGTTATGCTCATCACTCCTGACAGTGCATGAGTTTTACAATCATTCTGGCCAAAAAGTATCAGTCACCTACAACTTTACAAGTTAAATTTTAGAAAGCTTTATACAGCTCTTGATGGCAATCAGAAAAATTACAGGTACCCCAAGGAGGACAAACTGACTAGCCTAGATTGACCAGGAATCTTGCTGGGAGAACTGCTAACCCTCATGGTGCGGGGGGTGCAGAGGTTCGGAGTTAGGGTGTGAGGACAATCCTGTACCACTCTACATGGAGTATGCTTCAATCCCTGTCCACACTGGGTATTTAGGATTTCAGCTACTTGAGTCTGGTAGAGATTAGGGTCTCTTGCAGCTTGTCTCCAGGCTAGGCGGGGACAGGAGATGTCACAATATGATTTTCTCCTTGCTTCGAAGCATCCTACATGGTCAACGAACTAAATGTCGGGTGTCTCCATGTCCGGAATAGTACTGATTTTTTAAGGGCGGTCCGGAAGTACTGATAAAGTGCGGAACTCTGTAAGGAGATTCGGAATTTTTGTCATTTTTGTTGCATTTTTGAGCGAGAAATTCAAATTACTGAAATTTTTCGTATTTTGTCAATTGGAGGTACTGAAAAAGTACTGAATTTTTCTATTAAGAAGGCACTGAATTTCTTGGGAATGTACTCAAAAAGTACTGTGAGAATACTAATTTTTCCCAGCCTGTTTCAGTAGACACCCTGGCTCCGAAATTAAGTGTTCAGTAATGCTCGAACAGTTGAACTATTAAATTGGAACATGACGCTTCTGCTAGATCTGATGGTTATTATTCAGGTTCATTACTGCTTTTCTAAGTG